TTTCTTTGGTTTATGCATTTTTTGGGGTTCTTTTTCATTAATACCTTCTTTTGTGTCCTTTTTTAAAGTCAAGTATTGGTGTCCAAGTCCCTATTAATTCAGTTCCCTGTGACCTTTCCCTCAAAGATCCTTGGTTTAGTTAGAGTTGTTTTTGTTGTTTTGCGAGTTCCCCCATGGTGTGCCATTTTCCCCTGTTACACAAGCACTATCTCAGGAGGGTCCTGGTTTCTGGTTTGGTTGGTTTCTGGTTTATTAAAAACACAATGCATTTGTAGCTCAAAGGATAAATTGCTACATTTTACAACATGTTTCTCCCATCTAAGATCTGAACTGATTAAAACACCAAGAATTTTTTACACAATCAACTATGTGGAGATCAGTAGAGGAAATCTGTAAAGGAGGAAATTGTAGAATATTTTTCATAAAGCATACAGTCATGCAAGCACATTTATCTGGGTTGTTTTTCATATTATTTTGTACCGCCCATTGACTAAATTCATCCCAAACAGATTGAATTGTATGGGGGTCATTCCCTCTACCGCTCTCTACGATAGTCATGTCATCAACATATTTTAGACTAAGTAATCGACCATTAGTGCCAGTTGAATTATCAAAAGGAACAGCGGCATTAAATTTAGCAAGAAAACCCAACGGTCCTGGTTTGATCGGGGGGAAGGGTAGTTCACTGTAAAGAGGAAGAGCTTTACCAGGACCAGAATCAGTATTCCACAGTTGCATGGCAGCAGTGTTCTGTAGGCCCCACTCTGTGTAATCCACCAGAACCTATTTTTAGGAGCCTTTCATCTTGATGCACAGCTTTGCAATAATATTACAAGCTATGTGCTGGTTATGTGTAGATCAAAGCTTTTCAAAAATCGGACATCCATTGAATGATACTTACTTGACTTTTCTTATGTGCACGCACTTGTTTTTGTAGGTGTTGGAGTTTAATGGCACCTTTCAAAATTTTGAAGGCCCTGAGATAGTTAAGAGTCCCCTTATTTTTTGTAGGGCTTAAGCAAAGTGCCTGTATAATATACTCAACCTATTGGATCTGTTTTTCTTCCTTTTCTTTTCAACGGTGATTCTGCCCCCCCCCCTGCATCCGTTAGTTAATTGGCACAGTTAGCGTTGTAGGAATGCTTTGGAGAAACTTGACAGGCCTTACCCTGTTTTCGGGTGAGACTCAAATCTGTGGCACGCTTTACAATGGCCATGGATGTTAACAGGATCTTTTCTTGGGAGGGGGGAAGGCTGTTTTTGGACAGGGGAATTTCCTGAGGAAGGGGGCTGGCAAAGCACTCATCAGCTTAAAAGTGACAAACACTTAAACAGTCGGCGCTGGGTTTTTTTTTCAAGGAAATTGGTGATTATCATCCCTTTTGATCTCTTTTCATTTCTTTTGCTTTTTCTCCATGTTTCCCTTTTCAATTTTTCAAGGGGGGCGCAACTGCCCTCACAACACTTGTGGCAATGACAGATCCACCAGGAGAGGGGGCTGGAAGGGAATCCTTAATAACCCGAAAAAGCAAATAGAATATTCTAGTGATAATTTCTGTCTTTAAAAGTTAGTTAATAAAAAGTTGAGAGCAAGAGAAAGTGGGAAAGAGACAAAAGGTACCTCGCTCAAACAAATGTAGTAAGAGGTGTCAATCCGGGGTGGCGTGGGGTGGGGATTTATGTTCCCCTCCATGCTTCATCTACAGGAATGGGCTGTTGGATCATCCCTCCCCGTTTTTGTGGTGAGAAAAAAGGCAGATTTTGAGGTGTTTTTTTAACTTTCCAACAACCAACTGTATTTGTTAGAACTAAGAAAAGGGAAAAAAAGTACAAAAGTCTTGAATGTGCCATTTTGAAGTCATCCCCCATCCCCCTAGTCCCCTTAGTCCCCGGCACAGATTTACGCCACTGCTAAATAGAATTTTAAAAATTGAAAGGGGGTGCCAGGTGCATCCCATCTGGATTTGCTACTGTTTTATATTGTTGTGTGATCACTCACTATGCCTGTCGAGGTGGGCTGGCCAACTTGAATCTCATCTCTGGTGGCTGGCTTAATCACAGAATGTCAAGCATGTGCCCATTGAAGCTGTCAGTCACCCTCCCCCCCCCAAAAAACTGAAAGAAGTGATTTCAGTATAGTCAACTTCAGGTTGACACTGACTGAAGATACTCCACAACCCTCTATACATGTACATTTTACAGTAATATGAAGAATGACATTTGATTTCACGTCTTTTTTCATTGCCGCACCATTGCAGGTATTGTGTCCTGGCTGTCTGAGCTTTCACAGCCCATCAGTCCATCCTCCATTGCCCTGAAACTCTCCTCAATTGCCGAGACGCATATGGGAGGTTCTTCTGGGGCGGTGAGTGAGATTTACATTTTCAAACCTAGGCTTTGTGCAGGATTGGTGATAGTTGATCAGCAGTTTTAATATTGTGACCCTGGCCGCTTTTAGTGAGCACTGGGACAGCAGTTTTACAGAAATTCTTCTGAGAACCAGTTTATCGAGCTTAACAGGTTTCCACTCAAGAATATCTGTGAAATAGCTGTCATTGGAAATGCTGTGATAGTGTCATTGTGGTTAGATCCATCACTAGTCCAATCCCTAGTACATCACAAGTCAATTCGTAAGTTCCATCACAAGTAACAGGGGATAAACAGTGACAAAGGATACCATTGTCAGTCTCAGAGGTCATTTGAGTAGCTTGGGACCCACCTTGGGACATGATCACTTGTGACTGACTTGTAGTGGACACTTTATAAGGATGTACAATGGATTTCTGAGGGTCTTTGTTGGACTTCTCTAGACTTAACAGTAACAGTGCTGACAGGAGTAGTAATTTTCAACCCTTATTTCAAAGTACATGATGTGCATTTGGCTTGTTTTTCGCAGTTAATGTCTTGTTTGGTCTCTGTTTCACATATTTGTTTTTCACATTGTATATATGTACATTTAACAATTACCGACTGCTGTAATGTTGGACATGTTGTTTTAACACCCAAGGGATTCTTATATCACCTGAGGTGAAGCTGATAGGTGTTGTGTGTCCCCTAGTGTGTTCAAACATTCCATCCCACATCACAGCAGTCAATAATTGTTTTGTTATCTACCTCTGTTTCGAGTTCCTTGTAATATTTTTCTCAACTGAAGTTTTCCAATTTACTCACAAACAGTGAGCATCTTGGTCAGTTTCCCCACACAAAGTTGTATGATGCATGTGAACTCACTGCATCACCATACAGTAGTTTAATTAAGTTGGTCGCATGTGTGTTGCTCAAAAGCAGCACGTCTTTACGCCTAACAAATCATTTTGGAGGAAAATCTCCATGTTTCTCTAGCTCAGCAGGTATTGTGTTTAGGGACTTTTTTTTTAAAGTAATGAACTTCAAGCGAGCTTCAAATGTCAACAAATATTTCATTATGGTTTGGACTGTGGGGTGGGGACTAGTCTGTGATATCGTGATGTGATGCCCAGTGGTGAGGGTGACATGCTCATTTGCCACCTGGACATGTGATCATTTTGGGTCAATGAAAATACTGTATGCAAGACAATGGTATAATGGTGTAATTTGTTTTCTGATCTAGCTGTACAGTTTGTTCTTCACGGCTGCTGCTACTGTTCTGCAAAGCAACACAACACCCTCTGGTTGGGTGAACGCCCTGAAGTGTGGCATGGATACGGTCTCCAAGTACGGAGGAGCCGAAGTAGGAGACAGGACAATGGTACGCAGATCCAGGGGACCTGAAAGAGAGAGAGGAGTGGAGCTAAAAACTAAGGGAGAACAGGCAGTGGCAACTCTGCAATTTAAATTAAAGAATGCTTTGATGAATTCAATGGAATGCTTGCAGCAGGGCATAATTATGGGATTTCATCTGTTGGAACCAGTTTACATGATGTGGTTTACTAGTCTGTGTGTGTGATCACTGAATGGACTTCCCTGATTCAAGCGGTACACTCCCTTTGGTCAAGACTTCCAAATATTGCCACCTTTAGTGCATATCCAGAAGATCTCTTATAATTAAAATAGGTTCATTAAATGAGGTATATATGTACCAGTAAATGATGTTGGCTTGCCTATATGATCAAGGGCAGGACCACCACAAAGCTATAAAGAACTTATTCTTGCACTTGTAAGGCAATTTTTGGTTGTAAATGATCCTCCAATGGATGATTCATGTGCTTAGTTTGGGTTGCTTTATCCTCTAAGACTCAATAGAATACATTTCATGACTGAGGGCTTGTTCGAGTCTACAGCATTAGATATCAGAATAACAATAAGTAAATTAATATCGGGGCACATGGCCTCCTCGGCTTAACCCAAAGATTAATATTTCCTCTTGTGACACTCAACAATTCAATGGACAGCATCTCAGTACACTACAGGATCCAATTTCAAAGAGGTGTGTTGCATTCAAGGTGTATTCCAGCCGGTGATTATCTAGGAACTCCTTTATGCTAGTAATGATAACCCTGCTTAATTCTTCTATACTTGTAACACTGTCCAACATGACACAGCCCTTACATCTGGTCCGTTAAGGGCACTATGATACGGTATAATGGACACAAAACACACAGCTTACTATAGTCGGTGCCATAGTTGTAGTTATTATGCTGCTTAAGCACATTTTCCCAGTTAGTAATTGCAACTTTTTCCTTTGGGGTTAAGTTTGTTTTTACTATGCTTACTGCCTAACAGTCTTTGTGGAACAGGTGGAGACGCTAGATCTTAGCACAAAAAATCTGCTGTTATTAAGGGGAGGGAGCCTATGAAAGCCTGGGCCCTGTTGAATATTGCTAACACTGATGATTTTTGCTATGTGGTGATTTTGACAGCTTGATTCACTGCACGCTGCATTCACCGTGCTCCAGGGAGCAAAAGGAGATACCATTGACCAAGGCACCATCAAGCAAGCTGCCGAGGTTAGTGTAGTGCAGTGGAGGTAGGAAAAGACGGCATTGTCATATGCCCTCAGTTCAGAGGTAACAAGTGCCCCTCATGAAGAACCCATCCACACTCGAGATGCTCTGTCCACACCCCGCATCCCCCCCCCCATTCCTGTGCAAGCAGCCTTGCTGAGGACATGCCAGAATTCCTGCGCCATTGTCCCTAAGGATGTGACTTCATGAGATACGTAACACAGTGCATGATCATGTACACCCATGTCATTCCTTGAAGTGATACGAGACCAATCCCAGGAGACCCCATAACTGCGGTGGCACAGTGCCCACACGTGCGTTCTTAAGCTTAACACGTGTGTGGCAGATCACGACGCCCTATTGAAGAGGTACGATTCGCTCACATTCCACCTGTTGACAAGCGTTGTACCACCGCAGTGTGGTCCTCTCATTCTGCGTACCGAATTATTTTAAGGTTTTCTTGAGAAAGCCTAAATGCCCCTTTGAAAAATGCATACAAATTTCTTTATTTAGAAGAGCAGCGGTCTTTGCTCATCTTTAACATAAGCCAGAGCTATGCGCTGTCTCAGCCCCTTGTTTTCATGTTCACTTCTCACGGCATAAAATCAAGTATTTTAAGTCAGATGAGAATAAACTGTTTCCTTCTCAAAGCCAGACTCCGCTGTTGTCTACTATTGAGTCACCACCCTACAAATCTCCTCATTCTGTTGCTCACAGAGAGACAATTTGTCGATGTCAGAGTAGCATGGGCATGGCCAAGAAGGGTGCATGGAGCCCTCTCTCTGAAGGGGGTTTTGGGTGCAGAATGCTCAAGATAACAGTAGCAGACTGAAACGTCATTAACATTGCAGGGACTGGTCAACATCGAGGCATTTTTATGGAAACTGGCAATATTCATGATTCTCTTTTTCCTCCTCACTCCGTTTTCATTTCTGTTTTGGTTTTAAAAAAATCTGTCCCATTTTGGTATCAGTGATTTTTAAATGCATTTTGTGTTTGTTGCATAATTTTGCCTATGATTGTTATTGGCCTAAACATGCAGCAGAAACTAGAATGGACTAAAAAGTTTCCTGCAGAGAGATTGCTTATTGATGTTTTCCAGAGACCTTGTCAAAAATTACTCAGATGTAGGTAGTGGCTGCAGCCACTATGATAGACTTGTGTGTAATTTGAAGCCACAGCCATGGGCAGATATAATGGGGCTTGTACTGACTGTGCATGTGATTTGTTACTACACACAGGCATCGCGAGCAGCAGCAGAAGCTACGGCTGCAATGGATGCCAAGGCTGGCCGAGCAAGCTACGTCAGCAAGGACCGGCTGACCAGGCCCGACCCGGGGGCTATGGCTGTGGCTATCTGGATGACAGCAGTTGCCAGTGCACTGCAGCCCAAGTAGAAGTTACATCTGATGAGGAAGCTGTTTCAGTGGCCGAGTCATCATCAAGCATCAGCTTGAGTACCAGAGTTGTGACTCAGAACTCACCAGTGAGAGATGAGGCCGATTCATGCCATGTGCTCTGTGTAAAAGTTCCCTCTAATTAGCAGAGAGGAGAGAGGCTGATGGGGAATGTTTCAACTCAGGAGACTTTTCGAAAGTGTGAATAGGGGTGTATCGGGGCAAATATATCACTTTATGGTGGGACCTCCCAATGTAGCAAGAGTGGAGATTTGGAAAGAAGTATTGTACAAATCTTGGATCTCTCTGGAGTCAATACTTGTAGTTGTGGAACCCCTCTTAGTTACAAAAAGTGGCTGCGGTAAAACTGCACCTGTTGCTACCTCACTGTGAAATAGTACTACACGTTGTGGTAAATGGACCGGAGTTCTGAACCAATTCACTTTGATTTTTCAAGTCCGGTTGCATTTCCTAACAAATCCGTTGTGTGTCATGAGAGAGTTTATTTTTAATGTCTAGAGTAATGATTTTGTTAATTACACGTGCATCTTTAAATATGAATTCCCAAGACTGAAATGTGCTCTGTTCCTTTTGATTCAGTGGCAGTGGGTTTAAATTCAATTATCTAGCGTCTTTGTACCATTCTCACCCACCGCAACCAGAGTGGCGGTGCTGGGTGTCTCTCAGGTAGCGACATAGAATTAACTTACCTCAAATTCGTATGATTTGGCCACAGTGTCTTTGATGTGACAGATGAAACTTTCCAATCTGTGAACTAGTGGGCCTGTCATTTTACTAGATATTCTTCAAGTATGGGCTTGCGGTCAGTTTGGGCGCTGGCCAATTGCTGATGACTTTTCACTTTTGAAAGTTGTTTTCTCCTAGAACTGGTCCTGAGAGTTGGGAAACTTTAAATAAAGTTCAAATTATAATAATTTTTTTAAAAAATGACAATTCCGGTGCATCATTCCTTCTTTGTATATAGAACATCCAGTGAAAGAATCTCACAATAGCCAGTGTATAATCTATTTTTTATAATACTGAATGGAAAAAAGCAGATCAAATAAAACGCATTATTACCTTACTGTTGTCACTGTTTTATTTCACTTCTACGTGTAGGTTCATGAATATGTATTTTGAGATGATTTAATGATTTGCCCCCTCTTATACTGACACACAAACATCCTACTGTAGACAGAACTCAGCTAAACATAGCATGGTACTAATACTGAACTCATGAAAAAGGTAAATGGTACATTTCCAAATAGGTCACTTGGGAGACATTTTGTGGTAAATTTTTCTACATTAGGAGACATCGGTCATTAGGGAGACATTTCAATGTCTCCCTAATGCTCCAACTACCAAAAGGAGGAAATTTTTATTGTGCACATTTTGAGAGATGATAGATTAGGGTCTGAAAGGAAAACATGCAAAGTTTAAGATCAGATTAGGGAATATTGAATTATGGGACGGTAAAGTTTGAAAAGATTTTGTGCACGTTCCTATGCGAATATCTCCCAAGTGACCCATTTTTGGTAATTTACATAACATTTATCATTAAGCCTGAATGCATTTGTATTCTGCATTTAACCAAACATACGAAGAGATTTGAGTTTCTACAGAGACACATATAATGAGAGATTTGCTGTTTCGTGATACAGTATTTCGGTGTTTAGATGCAGCTTGATTTGGCGGCAAGAAGTTGAAGTCATTGCTGCTGTGGCACCAGGCTTGTGAGCAGATGTATGCACACATCACGTGGCTATTCAACCAGCTGGGTGTTGAGACTTGCCAAACTGTCCAGCAGGCACGTTGCCGTTTGTTGGTCACCGTCAAGGACAGGATCCAGAAACAAATTTTCTTGAAACTTTTTTCATGTTGCCTTTTGTAGCCTTTCTGAAAGGTAAGGTTACATTCAGGGTTTTTTTTTAAGGGAAATGAAACAAATAGACAAAAAGCCTCTCGTTACAATAGTTGATAAAAAAAAATTGGCTGCCTAATGGGGGAGGCATGGCCCCTGTTGGGCCCCCCTCTCCCATTCCAGATATGTCCTTAGCCACGGGTCTGTTTTACCAAGTAAGCTGTGCACAACATACAAAATACTGTCTGCTTACTACACAAAATTGACCAACGGTTAGCATGTGGATGCTCGGGAACTTGCCGTCCATTTAGCTTGGGGAGAAATTGGCTTTACAGAAGGTGGCCAGATTACTGACTCATCACAACAATATACCCCATCAATGGAAAGAGCCAGACAAATATGGCAGCTGCTTGAATACCCTTGCTGCTCTGTGTTCTCTTCATCCATGCCAACGACAGGTTTGTACTCATTTACATGAAATTTGGCCATGCCTACGGGAGCTTACATACCATACATGTGTACTCTTCCTACAAGTAGTCCACGGCAGTTCATTACCTTGCAATGGTACAGGCACTGTTAGTTCAACACATCACACATTAATCTAACTTGTGGAATATGGGATACTTCTAAGAGCAAAGAAGTCCACAAGAGACATCTTGTGATAAACAGTTCAATTCAATAGCACCAATGAATAGTGTAGATATGGTTGCATAGGGAAAATGTGAATAAAAATATACTTTTATCCTAAAGATTACACACACAATAACTGTACAGTGGAAGAAAAGTCTTAAGAAAGTTCCTTAAAATTGAAAACCTTTGCGTTGAACACGGAAAATGTTATTGTAACCATTTTTCTCCAACACACTGGGAATTCATCCATTTTTTGACTGGTAGTGTGGATAATTGTTGTCACTTCTTCAAACAGTGACAATGATGCTGACACGTATGTTCACCCAGCACTGCTGGTGTATCAATTTTGTCTTAATACATGGAATTGTATGGGGTGGCACATGACAGGGATAGCCATAATCCAGTCCTGTCTTCAAACGGCTTCAAATTTTGATCAAAAGAGGCAGTGGTGGACAGCCATAATGTGATGAAAGCAATAAATAGATTGTTAGTTCCTGCACAGAATTAGACTGTCCATTAACCTTTAGTGCGTCCAAATTGTTGCGGTAATTCCAAGAGATCAACAGTCAGCTACAAATCGGTGGCAAATTGCTCCCGACACGGAACCATGTTCCTTAAGCCCTAGATCGCTCGGACGATCTCCACAGTTCCGACAGTATAGCAGGGAATCAAGCTGAGATTCGCCACATGTAGCCCATCACTTCCCAAACTTGTCTTTTAAACTTTGGCTGAAAGTTGGATAGTCATCGCTCTAGTACTGACGAAACATGAAAAACTGAAGAAAAGATCTTCACAGTGTATTGACCAAAACACATATTTTCTAAAATTCTTCCAAAGAATTCTTTGTTACTTCTACAGGGGCGGATCCAGGATTTTTCAAAAGGGGGGGTCCAACCCAGGGCACTATTTTGTTTTAAAAAGCATGAATTTCAGGTTGCCATATAGCCCTCCACCTGAACCCGAATTACAGGTGACTTACTCTTTGTCTAGTGGGTTAGAGCATTCAATCGGTGGGGGGGGGACATAGGCCTAATGACTTTCGCTGATTACATGCGTGGCCATTTGGCACTGGAAGCCACCCAGAGCTGTTGGAACATTTCATCCATATCCCGAAAACCATAGTAATATCCCAGCATGTACGGTTTTATGTCAGGTTCCTCAACCAAAAACATCAGAAAACATCAACAGAATGCTATGTTTGCTCTTGATCCCAAGTTAAAAAAAAAGGGTCTTCTTATGAAAGGGGGGGTCCAGACCCCCAGGAGCTCCCCCTGGATCTGCCTATGCTTCTAAGAGTTAACTGCAACTCAAATTGATTAAAAAAGAATTAAAAAACTGTTTTACATGAAATGCCTGTGGCATTATTGCTATCTATCTGTGCGTACTCAAAAGATTTTTGGTAACCTTTTTTACCTGTAGTTCTTGCTGTCCTAACCTACAAGTAGCTTTCAGGAGTCCAACATCTATTTGGTTTCTTGTGCAAGAAAAAAGGCATATTGTGAATTCCAGTCACGCTCAAACACGTCTGCCAGTTGCTTCCGTAAAGACTTCCCATCATTCTCTCCCACATTCCCCGGCAATGGCAGTGATGTATCGTTGATGACAGAACCAACTCCACCGGTAACGGTGAAGTAATCTTTGCTCCAGTTGGACGTACCTATGAAAAATGAAAAACAGAATCCAACATTCACCAAGGTCCTATACACATTTGAACCATAGCACATTTTACCTATACACATGTAAATGATTATGAATGTATCATCAAAACTCGAACATTTTCTTGGTTGATTTATTTCAAAGCGGCAACAAGCATATTAATTAAAAAGGAGTAACATCACTTGAAATTCTCAATCAGGTGACGATTTTTTTGAAGTTATGAAGAAAAGAAAAGAAAGAAAAATCAAGAGTTAGTTAAGAACACACAACTCCTTGTACCCCTTGTCCCTGATATCACCAACATTTATTGTCCTGACAATTCTCTCTTTTTTGGTGATGTTTTGATGAAAATAATCACAACAAACTCTAACGAGAAACTGCATTTGTTAAAGGTACCGTGTAGGAGAAATATTTTAATAAGATCCATGAAGTTGCAGCTTTGTGTATCAATTAACTTCATGGTCAGGTTTTATTTTTCTGTTTTTATCTATATTTTTGGTCCTTTTTGGTTTCTTGCTAAGTATGATTATTCACATATTCCTGGCAAAACTATGGCATAATTATAAGGCACTGAACCTCAGTGTTGCATTGATTTCAGCACAAACAGTTGCTGTATTATTTATAATTTGCTATTGAAGATTTCCATTTCCTTTGGGAATTTGTTTCTATTTATTGTTATTTTAAATTTGAACATTAAAACATGCAAACCGAACCGTGTCTTAATGGATTTGCATCCCACTAACAGTGCCCGCCTTTGTCAGAAATAGCCTAGTGAATTTTGAATACTTTAAAAGGTGCCTTCATTTAACTCCAAAAACATATACATGTACTGAAGAAGAGTTTAAACACGGACAAAAAGTAATTCTAAGAAGATTTATTGCATTGATCCTTAAAACACTTCAACAAGTACTTCAAAATGCTGTCTAAATTTGAATAAGTGTCTTCAATTACATGTAAGTCTGGAATGTGCCTGGTGAAGCTTGAATATAAATGTGGTGGACGCCTGTTCCTGATGGTATGGTGGGTGTAGTAACCTGCCAATGACCGCTGATCATGGTTAGAGTTGGTGTGTTGGCCTTGGGCAAGTTAAAGGTGTCAAGGGGAATGAGATTGGAGGCTGATGGATGGCTGATGGCCTCATCATGTCTGACTTCAAGAAGTACACTGTACACTGTACATGTTCAAAGTACATGTATTTCAAACTGTATGATGCTGAAGGACAGGAAACCAATGCAAAGGCTGCAGTATGGATGTGATGTGTCCACGTGGTTCGCTCCAAAAACTGTACAGACTGCAGCGCTCTGTAGACGTTGACGACATAATCATGTGAGTGGTCAGGTGGTGGGTAACTGTTGTAGTAGGCCAGGTGGTTCTGCAGTCATTTTGCCATCAATGGACTTGAAATCTCAGAGACACAGTTCTCGCAATATCTCATCATTTGAACACTGGTAGGCAAATAATGTCAGCTTTTCCACTGACCGTACCATCTGGAACATACACATGTACAAACCGATGTGTGATACAGCTTTAAGCTTTTGTTTCTACATGTATTCTTTATGGACATCTGAGCATGCAAGCCGGGTTTCAAAGAAATCTGCCACAGGCAATGTGAGATGAGTATGGAATCTGCCCCCACCACATGGTGGTGAAAAATTGTACTTCTTTCAGCTAGGGTTAACTACAGGTTCATGTATCCACAGCACTTCAAAGTGCAACAAAGAAAGACAGTCCTTTTCTATTATCATTACAGTGGACAGTTACACAAACTAATTGTCTTTTAATTCAACATCAAAACTAGTATGATAACTACGAGTATATGGATAAATTCTTGAACATACAAATGTGGACTAGGTCCATTTTTCAACAATCAAAACTCTTCTTGACCTTTTAAGGCGCAGCAAACAATACATTTTTTTTTCTCTCAGTTGAGCAGAATCTCAAAAAACAAGGCAAGAAGTTCTGCACAAATCTGATAAAGGACTCCCAAATTTCCATGTTATATCTTTAGTCATGTAAGTGGAAGACTGGGCAGTGTGTTTTTAAATGTGTAGAAAGAGAGTCCAACATGGTAACAGTGAAAAATAAAGAGAAAGTAGCATCTTTCTGCTTGCCTAGGTGTCCATATACGGTAGTTTCTTCTGTTTAAACATACTCACTTTGAAGATGTTATGATTTACAGTACAATACAATGGCAGTCATGATCTGAGAAGGCACAGGTACAACATTATACAAAAATGATGTATGTATCTTAAATTACTAATCCATGAATAAACCTAGACAAGCATCCCTCTACCTCAGGTTTAGGGCCAAATTTCTGTACAACCTAACAATAATGTAATTATAAACAAAATGAACAATTTAAAATGGATTTTTGAAATGAGAAAGTTGAGCACATACATGCAAATGTTTTACAGAATTACAAATGCCACAGAAGTAAAACTAGTACACATCATTTTGGCATATGAAAATTAACTAAATAAACACAATGTTTGAACTGACAGCATGTTATTTGAAACAGTTTCCAACATCGAGCTTTATAGAGTGAACCTTCAACCTTTAAATGTATTATAGGACGTATGTGGCATAGTCCGAGTTCCAGTCACGCTCAAACACGTCGGCCACTTGCTGCCGCAAGTGTTTCGTTAAACTCTCTCCCGAGTTCCCTGCTGCAGCTGACGATGTCTGATTGACAATGACGCCAACTCCACCATCCTCAACGAAGTAATCCTTGCTCCAGTTTGACGTACCTAAGAATTAAGAATTGAGTAAATTTCGATGGCAGGCCATCCGGGCATCCAGAGTGGATTTCAGGTTAAGTACGATATTTGGAGGGCTGGGAAGAGAATACTATCCCAGTATGTTCACTTGTGACATCGAAGGGATAACCAGGAATATGTTTTAAGGCAGCCCCAAAAAGAACAGAATCGGAAATGATCACATCATCCGAGAGAGAAAAAGTGCATGACAGCAGACGACTTTGCTGACAGTTGCAGTTTCCAAAGAATATTCAGCAATAAATTATCTTATTACGTGTACTGCTGCTCTCTCATCACATTTTAGAAGGAAGTGCCCTCTGGGATTCGGTACTGTACATGCAACAAACTGGGGGACATCTATATGTTTGGAGACGACAGAAAACTTTTCAGCCATTCTGAACCAGCAAAAAATCAACTCTAAACGTTGGATCTCATTTAGCCAGAACAGTGCACGTCACACCACAGAGGCATAACTGAAGACATGACAACGTCCAACCAATGACCAACTTGAAACAGAAACATGTTTCTGTTGGCAGCTATGAAAGCACACCCCTGTTTGCACATGCAAATACAGTTGAAACAGCTACTGTACTGTGAAGTATATGCATTAACAACGCAGATCAACTGAAGCGGAGCAAGTTTAAATGCAAAAATACAATTTATTTCAAAAGAAACAGATCAACAGAAAGTAAAACAATTGAATGCACAGGAACTATACATTGAAAGAACAATCGGAAACCTTTTCGTAAGAGACTGACATATTCACATGTACTTTCTCGGTACATTTGCATTACTATGGCAATAGTTCCAAGATAAACTGATTTCCAATTTGTTTTGAAAAGGACTGGGTAACTATTTGAGGGCTGAAAGTCGATGATGAGCCAAAAACTCACCTATATAGGCCTGCTTGTCCGTAACCATGTACTTATTATGGTTTACTCTTGCATATGGAATTTGGGCCTGAGCTGGGGTCGACGGCACTTTGAAGATTTTCTGCCAAAATAAGGAATTCACCAAGTGTAAACATTACAGTCTTTTTGTCAGCACAATTTCATTATAAACACCATGATATAGTTGTACTAATGTATAAGATTTTCTGGCCATGTTTTGAATGCCAAGGTGAAGTGCGTACCTGTGCATATACATATGCTTATCATCCACTACTGTACACGTATCAAATACACGTGCCCTGTGTTTCATTTAACCAACCGTTCTAATCCCTACACAAATATTGTTTAAAGTTACAGGGCATATTGTCCATAGGTGAGACGCCTTATGACTTTTGCCAGGTGAAAATTACAACCTTGCTTTTATATTGCACGCATCAACATTTCCAGCTTTGCTTTCACACATCAGTGCAAAAGTGTGCAATTTTGTAAGCACTTGGCATATGGTCTATGCAGCTGAAAAATATAACCTTCAATCTTAATTGAGACGTACACTGTATGCCTCAGCATTTCAACTTCACAAGGAACAGAGCTCTTGTTTGTTGCTGTATAATTAATATTTTTTGTTATAGTGATCATTCATTTGTAGTTTAGAAGGAAAGCAAGGTCATTCAGCCAAACAACTGAAAAAAGAGGTAACAAGTATATTAAATACAAATTTAAAGATGCCCACAACTGTATGCAAGAAAATGTATTGTATACATGTCCAAATGTGTATTTATAAATATGTACACAATACGTGGAGACAACACACATATTGAAACAGAGATGTTGTGGGGCCCAAACATTATGGGGACAATATTTTTACCCCCACAACCATAGTTAATCTCAACTTTCCTAACCAACGAAACTGCCCCTCAATGTGGTGTAAGGTCAGGGGCAGTTACATGTAAGTGTTACAACCTTTTGGAAAATTAAGTGAATGTTTTTTTACTATAATGTGCAATACTCTTTGACACCTTAGGGCGCTGTTGCTGTGTTGATACAGTATGTGTCACCTCCTTTTCAATAGAGTTTGGGGCTTACATGTACTTTCCCAATGATTTAAACTGAGAATGTAACTCAGTTACTCAGAGAAATGGGGAGTTAATAAACTCATTCAATGGCTGTCACTGAGGACTTTCCCTAAATTTATTTCCCACAAACTTTGTATTCATATACTCACACTAAAATCAAAATGCTACATCATTTGCTCTGCAAGGCAAAGTCAGTACCAAACAGTATCAGTGCCACAACATATTAAACTGAGTAGAATTTGCCCACTCACCACCTCTATGTCCATTTTGCTGGTGTTGTTGAGGACGGCCAGTGACTGCAGAAATCCAAACATGTCTGGGTTGGTGTGATTCCACGAGCTTGCCAGGAGCCGTACTGCTATACCACGATTAAATGCAGCACTACGAAGCTTATCATCTATGACTGACCAAAATCTGAAACAGAAATTCAACACAGGCTTTTTGTCAGTCTAATAAACTCTACTGACAGATGTATGTAGGAGTGTCAACAGATTATCAGGAGAAGGGGGTTTGATATAAATATGTCTTGGGAGCCCTGAAATTTTCCTGTTGGAGCACGCCCCCAAGAAAAATTTTTTAAAAGGACATTGCATCCTTCAATCTGGTAAACTTTCAATGCCCAAAAAGACAAATCCAAGACTTCTGTTTTGTGGTTGATTTGTTGGTGAAACAATGGAGGATTTCAAATGATGAGGAAAGGGTGCTCCTTCGTGCCAATGGGATGTTAAAATCTCCGTGCTCTCAATCACTGCTATTAAGTTGTAAAATTTTCAATCAAAACAGGACAAAACAAGACAAGCCAAAACATGCGGGGAAAAAACTTCATTAAAATTGAATTAACTCAAAAGTCGAAGGAAAACTAGAGTCCAAGCTCACTTTTGAGGGTCACTGAATGCCAAGAAAGGGTAGTACTCCATGACTGCAACATGAATGAAGCGCTCCGCATTGTCCATGACGTCGAGAATGGCATCAATGTCATTCGTCCGGCCATCTGAGCAAAACTGAGGAGGAGAACTCTGCACGGACAGCAAGTGAAACAAAACAACAATCATGTCAAGTCGCAGAAGGCAAAATTCATTGATTGAAAACTGTAACATGTCTATCAGCATTCTGTATTCAACATTTCCATTTGATCAAATGTCTGGTTATATATAAAATACTGAATTCCCCAAACTCAGGAAATCCCAAAATAGATTCAGAACATAGTGATTGCCAACAGGAAAACAAATCCAAACAGCAGTAACATATTTGAAGACAGAAGTTAAGTTGTTTTTCTTTCACGTTGTCGGTTCCAATGTTTAAATGAGTATCCTAAGCATGGAATTCACACTTTACAGAATGTACACATGACCACAACAGTAAGTTTTAGCGTAGAAGTAATTCTGCACTAAAACTACCACTATACAATCGTACGCTGTAGACTAATCTGGTGACTAGAATTAGAAGCCATTGTGGTGGGGCCATCCTGTTTGCGACAGGCATGTGATACAGGTGAGTTGCATTTCTCTCAGACCAATGGGATGTTGTGACTTGCCCAACTGCACGCCTGCTCTCAAGCTGAAACCTGTGCATGAGCGTGATGGCCCAACAGGAATGACATCTTCTTGGACTTGTCCAAAGCAAAAAGTAGAGATTCTTTGCATATGGTTTGCTTATTAGTGCATCCGTGGCGTTGAGCACGGGTATTGGGATGATGGGCAACTAACACTCAAAGTGTTTACTAACCGATAAATACACATCAGTGTCGGTCCCATTGGCCTTTATCTGCATGGGTGCCATCTTGTTGTAGGGGGTGCTGTAATTGGTGGGCCAGTGGGTTGGTACCCTAGCACCTGGTTTGCCTAGTGTCCAGTACACTTCAAACAGCTTGGCGGCATCCTTGGCGACACAGCTGCAGTTGAAGAATGCAACACCTAGCTCCTTCACCTGAAAACATGATATCCATTACAACAAATTTATTTAAAGACACTCTACTTTGAGTAACATAATTGTTGAAGCTACTGTTAATGCTTTTGCTAAGGATTCTCTAGGGAGCCAATTAGCCAATGTAAAATTTTGAATGGTGCAATGAAACACACATAGTGATGTCATCACACGCACCTGTATAATTACATTAACCCTCCTATGCAAAGATACATTCTTGACACAGTTGTCATATCAGTCAAAATCAGTCAAATTTCCCATATGTGTCTGTGAACTGGGGCAAATCAAGTGAAAGGATTTTTTTACTGTTTTTAACGGTTATAGCAAAAGGAGGGTTAATAACACTAGATTGATTGGATTCCCAAGATTAATTACAAAGCTCTTTTGTCAGCTATTACATCTGCAGTGCAGCTAAAGGTGCAAGACTACTTTGTATGGATCAAGTATGATCGTAAACAATGATTCAACCCTCAGCTGATCTCTTTATCCTTCATCATAAATGCAATGCACAATCATGCAATAATAGTCAAACCATTGTTGGAAACCCTGTCATTGGTGGCTTTTTGCAGCTGCTCGTCATATCACACAATCATTTTTATTTTAAGAGTTCCCTCTTTACTTAGATGCAAACAAGATTAAGAACCAACAATGTATCTGTACCTTATGGCTTGGTTCTAAACAATGGACTTACAGTAAACCCACCACCTTTCCTTTGAGTAAAGCTGGACTATGGTCAACCATGGTTTGAGTTGAAAGCTGCTTTTTAGCTAGGGCAAGAAACATGGGAAAAAGTATTGTTTACAAACGTACCTGAGTCAGTGCCCGCCAGTCCATATTAGGGCTTCCGATAAAGACATGTTTGCGGTCCACCACCCACATCTTGGTGTGGAGTATGCCGCTGCCAATCAGGGCATCAAAGTCCAGGCTGCGTACCTGGGCGGCACCAGCCTTCTGCAGACTCTGTGTGTCATTGTTCGGCAGGTATTCACTTGGCTTGTTCTGTGCTATTCTGATCGCTATTCCTCGTTTGGTCCCGGCATTCATCAGTCCCTTGAAGATCTCTTCTCCCTATATCATGTGACAAGTTGATGCAGGTTTGCAAGTCATGTGCTTAAAAACTGTATTTTGCCTTTGCTCCGTGCAAGGATCAATGCTGCATTATTTTTCTCCTATGCAAAAAAAAAAGAGGATATGTGACCCCTTCTAGAAAATTCAAATACAGATCGCACTACCTTTCCATGCAATGGCCTGCTCAAAGTTGAGAAGGGTGACATGTCTTGTGGAATGTCAATTTTTGTTCTTTGTCAGAAAAAAAATCTTGATCACTAAAATTTCAAGTTTTATGAACAAAAATATTCCAAGGGAACTTGTGCATTGCCGGGGGATTTAAGGTGTCTTTGAACGAACTTGGAGCCTAAGTGTGTATTAGACTCAACATTTTCAAAGCCTATTTTGCAGTTAAGTTGAACTCCATGGAATGTTATATCCCCGGAACAGACTGGTTTGTCATATTCACATGAAAGTTTACACGTGGGCTTTTTGAGCCACATGTACGTATGTGATTTTTTTACACACTTTCTGGAAAAGTGGATCACATGCAAAGATGATATAATGGCATCGTTTTGATCCCATCACAAATTCAATCAGCTGCAACTACAGTCACAGACTGTAAATACTAAAATTACTTCAAGGTTTCTCTTAAAACCACTTATTCAACGATCGTTTCATTATTTCATTTCTGCTAATTTTACCTGATTTACCGGTATATTTGTAATGTGCCATGAGCATCATATTTGGTAGATACTGGCATCTTATACATGTAAATCTTCTGTATTTTGATTTACATGTAAAATGAGGCATTCCTTTGCAATGGTTCACATCCCCTTTGTCGTAAGACTAGGCTTGTGAAGCAACTTTTGATTAAGTAGTGATTCCGGTATGACTTACGGACTAAACTGCAGCACTGAAGTATTGGCACTTGCATGTCTGACATTCTTTTCAAAAAGGCAGAGTCAAGCTGGAATGTGGGAAAATTGCAGTAACGGGACTGTTTTCTTACTCATCGATTTATGGACCTTTGGAGGGAAGGATGGGGTTTATGTGCTGAACTTTTGAACCTGTCTCCCATTGTTGAAAAATACTTGGGCAGTCAAAAACGGTGGTGCACTGAAGGGGGAGGCTCAGGAGGACTTTTTTCAATTTTTGAAAAAGAAAGTTACAATATATATATGTACATCTTCATGAACATCATGAGCTCAAATTCCAGTTGAGCTGCACCCAAAACGGCAAACCCTGGGTGCGCCACTGATGAAAAAACTTACCTGTTTGTCAGTGGGGTCCACATAGACATCTTTCCCGTTCAGGGTCCAGTAATAAGAAGCAATATCAATGGACTTAGTGGCCATGTTGATGAGATTCATCCAGGTATCAAATGTTGACACATGGGATGGGGAACCAGGCGGGAAGGTCAAATTAGCAGGAATGCTTTCTGCTAAAACGATGCTGAAATGATTGGAAAAATAAATACCAAAAGTAACTGCATTTTCAAAGTTGATATTATGAACCTAATATATGAATAATAATATGAAAATCATGATGAAATTAAATGACTAAGTTGTCGACATAACGTTTTGAGCTTTCATCAAACCTTTGCACACAAATGCACAGTCAAATCTGTCAATGTTTTACTTAGAGAATAATTAGGTGCCTTGAAAGTCTAGCCGTTCTTACTTGTCAAGAACTCATCAAGTGACTGGTCTCAAGCAAAGGATAAAAGGGTAATTCCAGAAATAAGCGGTCCATTTTTTTTGTGTCCCTGTCACATCTGACATGTGATTTTGTAAGTTCAGAACACATTTTCTAATTTCCAAGAGTGGTGAATTAATGCAAATTACCTGCCAAACAAATAGTAATACATGTAGTTTGAAATCAATTCTGGTGATACTTCAAGTCAAATAACAAAGGTCAGTTCTAAATGGGCCACGAAAATGTCACACGTTTGGACCCCTAATTTCTGGAATTACCCAAAACACGATCCAGTAACAAAAGGGCCCCCGAACTTTGCACTTGGGATAAATTCACGATTTTGACAAAGAAATTTAAATTGTCCTTTCCAACATAAGTGGTTTTTGAAGCCCAGGGAAATTTGTAATGTGAAAATTATTACATGTATGTTTAATTCATTTTCAGCGGAAACGTAAACGTTGTTCAAGACCAGATCAGGAGAATCGATGCTGAAATCCTGAGCCACAGCCATGCAAGGACATTTTTTGCATCCACACCCCTGAGCATTTACATATACAATACATTTTTTGAGAATTACACAGACTTAAGGAAATTTCCTTAAAACCTATATGTGATCGACCTGCCGAAAAAAAGATAAAAAAAGTTGAGACCATGCACCCTTTCCCTTGTCTTGACTAATCAAATCCCCCTGCCCCAAAAAAGCAAATAAACTTAGGCTTTCTGCAACTGAAACATCCTACTCACACACCTGCAGTTGTCAGTGCATTTCTCCCAGTGGTCTGGTTCGGGCCTGCTTGCTCCGATCCCAAGGAATGTGAAGGTAACTATCACAGCCACCAGTATCTGCACTATCACCAGGAAGATCATCACTTTCCGACATGTGTCAGTCTCGGTTCTTTCCATGGAAGACTGCATGTCATCCTCTTCTCTGTATAGCTTCATTTTACTCTCTTACTGCACTTAACATAAGACACCATTAGGCATAAATGTGACCCACTCTGTGAAAATGAGTCTTAAGTCGCCAGAGCCACTTAGGAGTACAAAGTCCTTTAGAATAATTTTGCACAGTGTACATTGTAAGTCAATAGGAACCCATAGCATTTTTCACCATGGAGGATCCACTTTCATCAGGATGCCAAACTGAGTGAAACATCAAAACAAAAATATCAACTTGCTCTTTAAAATACAAATGAAAACTCAAAAAGAGGCCCTAGCGACTTAAGACTAACTTTCACACAGTGGGTCACAAATTTGTATGTGACATGATCTACATGTATAAAATCACTTATTAGAGGTTCATTTTATGCCTGCTAAGAAAGCCTAAAAATTGTAATGCCGCAGTGCTACAAAATGATGTCATGAAACAAATCATGTACATGTATGTAAAAAAGCATTTGCCACCTGGAGACCCTCCAGCAACGTTTACCTGTACATACATGTATTTACACTTCATAAATAGCAAGCTTTGTATTTATCTTGTATCTTCCTGGTGCCCCCATCTGTCACCACCTGTATTTACAGGTTACCATTGAACTTAGTTGTGACATATAGAAAATAAACTCCAAACTCCCAAATGCTCTGTGTACACAGCTTCTCCACTCAATGTGACGTCAAACAAACTTGCCTTGTTTTTTTGAAGGCAATTGTTCAGAGGCAAAAAGGAACATATTTTTCAATTCATGGGTGAAGTTTGGATGAGAGGTTTCAGGGACTGCATATTGACTCCCACCCACTCTGCATGGAGGTCTGCTTCGAAGAAGGTTTTCAGTTGATTGAGCTCATCAGCCAAGTTACTTATTGGCTTTTTATGACTTTTCTTCCAGAAGATACAACATATAAACTTGAAACATGGCAAGTAACCCTGATCCTCAAATATGCGTGCATGCTCATGCATGTATAGAGCCTGAAAGTAAAAGGTCATGCAGTGAGCTTCAAGAGCCCTTGCGCGGTCTTCCTATGGGCATTTTACGTTGGGCCGTCCTATCACATTCGATAACTTTTTGAAGAATAATTCCTAACTGAAACCACCCCATGAGACACTCATGTTGGAATTTTACCTTGGAAAGTCACCTGGAGATGGGTAAAAAACGAATTTTCTTAAAGACCTTTCACTTCCGGCGATATCGTACCTACATGTAGGTCTTCTTGTTCATGCACCTTTGTTTTCACTACCTGTGCTTACGTGAAAAGGAGACTGTACACGCACAACGTTGCAAAAAATTTGCAGTCGATGGGTTCCAGATTCCGTTGAGTTGACATCACACAGTTGTCATCAGCAAAGGTTAGATAAAAGATTAGAATCTTTTGTAATTGAAGGAGAATGTTGCTTTCAGTTTATTACTTCTAAATTATAAGACTATGCAAAAAATTTTGATCTGTTTTTGTTTCAGCTTTTACCGATGGACTACCATAAAATTTCAAACCGTAAATGTTCATCTGCGTACGAGACTGTTTCATTGCACTGTTCTTCATGTATTTTAGATTTTCGGAAGTTATGGATCAGTTTTTGGCAGGATATTTCTCTTTTAGATCAGGTAATTTTTCAGTTTCTATAAATTGATATACTAGCAAATATTTTCCAGAGTCCCTTTTCCGAGTTGGATTCTTTAAGGAGAAACTGAACAAAAAAATATATTATAAATTCTAAAATCTCTGCACGTTTTTCTATCCAAGGGTTCCGGAAGCGCGCCATCAGGGGTCAACTTTCAGGCTCTATTTGGTGTGACATTAAATGTATCAAATTACATGTACAAGCAATTTTAGTTTTTCAAAAATGACCACATTCTCTCAACTTTACATTTACCTCCTGAACAAATAAAGTTCATATTTCTGGATCTCACAGATTTTGAGTTGGGCAACACTTTTGGCCCCCAGGGTCAAGATTGTCTAACCTTAAATTTCAAGGTTGATTGAAGGTCAAAGTCCAGCGTACCTGTAAATCTCCAATCAAAACATTTGTCTTCCAAAAAGATATAAAATCTGGTATAAACTAGTTTGAGCATTATAATGCCAGCTCCATGCTTAGTTAAAACATCAGGAATCACATATTTCTGACAACATGAGCATTACCAGGATTAGTGCTTGATTTACTTCTGGCATACATGTAAGCTCCATGTAAGTTCGAACATAAATACTGACGACCCTATTTTTCCTTACTTCATGCTTGTACATGTACATTACTATAATCAATAGTTAGGAGTGATTAAAATCTAGTGTGCATACCTCACCATTCCACGTAGTGTCTATGTGCACAAGGGAGCTCCATGCACTTCCAAGAACACCAAAGAATGGGGCGCTGTTATGTCACTTTTTTAAGGAGTACTTCACCCCACTTACTGGGTCTAGGGGCAGGGGTTAGTGAGTACTGTCCACAAACGTGTCAGACCTCCATCATGTTCATTATGGCTTTTCATGGGTTAATAATTAGTTCAAGTACATGTAACTACCGACAGGCCTAGGGCTTGGCAAATTGTCAATCTTTAACATTTGGACATGGTCGGCAATAGTAGGCCTAGTTCATTTCATTCTTTATTATTTTTACCACATCTCTTGACAGTCACCAAAGAATATAATATGTATATTGATGCACATACAGGAAGTGAGAGCACACACAAAGTCTTCCGTTTTGTAGCTGTGCCACAGCCAGAAATCTATTCTGTGGACGCTGATTCAATCTGTTAACATCCAAACTTAAACAGTAAGACATGGGTACACCGGACCCGAACACTGAGCACACCAGACCCAAACCATGGGTATACCAGACCCAAACCATGGGTACACCAGACCTGAACCATGTTGGGACATGGGACATTATCATCACAAAATGTTATGCTGAACTTATGTTGAACATTTAGTCTGGAGTGAAATTACCTACACTATGCAAAACATTTCATTTTCCCACTGATGTTGAAAATTCAGTCAGGAATTCATGCACATGTACATGTACAAGTGTATAGCCCCTTGGGAAAGGAGGGTGCTATACTATAGTGAAGTTACATAATACCACAACAATAAGAGATACTGTAAGTTTAACCCCCAAAATGCAAACATGCAGGGAATTGGGTGGCTGGCTGACTTTTTCCCACCAACAATTGCCAGCCAGAAAGTGAACAGGATTGAAGCCTCCCCAATATGAACCTGAGGAAGGAGGGGCACTGGGGTGTTGGGGAAATTTTCCAGAAGATTGAAAATGACCAACACGTTTGGAAAGCTGTGAAAGAGTGACAAACAGATTGCATTTCCCGCCAATTAAGGCGTCCCCACGCAACAGTAACCTTTTCATTGGTCCAAAGTTAGTCTGAGGCAATTAGCACATGTACAACTTCAAATTTGCATATCCGCGACTCCTAACTTTCACACGTGCAACTTCAATTTGCATGCCTGCCACTTTGCAACTGAGCGAGAAAGGAAAGCGAACTTTGACCTCGCATTGCATGACATGAAAACACAGCCCAACGCAGACCAGCCGTGCTCATGCTTGAAAGCCACAGCAAGAGGCTGGAAAGGTTTGACCAATGCAAACGATCAACCTCCACCAACAGCTGACCAAGGGGCAAAGAGTGGGGATAGACATTCACTGAGTATAATAATATTTACCATAAATTTATGATAAAAGGTGTTAATCAATAATGAAAAAAACAATAAGACTTAACAATAGGAGGCAAAATTAGGGACCCAGTGACGATGCAGTCATGGATGTCAGTCTTACTACATATGGTTTAAATACATTTTTACGTTCATTTTCCAGTTAGAGGTTGCGCATACATTTACATCAGGATGTGGGAGGAGATCCCTGAGAATCGAAGCTCGTCGAATAGGGATCTCCTTTAATGTGGAATATGCCAAGCATTACAAATCAATGGAATGGGAAAATAAAAAAGTACATGTGAGTGCAGTACCTACATGAAGTAACCCGTTAACCTGTTAAGAAGCTAACTTGAACTAAAATAATCAGATACATGTATGAGGTAAGACTTGAGGTTTAATTTAAACAATGGGAGAATACAAATGTAAGGAATTAGAAAACTTTGGGCCTTCATGCATATTTCATCACCATGATGGCAAATTGAATAATTATATGAATTGAATAATTACAATAATTATTACTGAACAATTATATGCAAACTGAGTATTTCTCATAGGGTTACAGGTCGTATTCATCTCTTTTTAAAATTTCCAATTAAATGTAATGTCTATGTGAATGTGGTATTTGTATGTGTAGTTAGGAAAGGGGGGGCTACTCAATAAGTACTGCTTTTTAGGGACTCCCTCCACCCTTGTGTGGAAAATAAAGTAAACCTGAACCTGAGGTGGGATATGCATAAATGAGCGAGGACGCTGTTTATTTGGAAACTCATTTTCTTAAATAGAAAATTGTGATTAAAATTTGTCTTTTTCCGCGCACTCTAGCTCCTCTATTTAATTTCTAATAATTTCAAAATTTGTGAGCGAAGCCGAATTTAATTCAGTGAATAAGGCACGAATAAGAACAAACATTTTATAGAAATGTGAATTTTCAGCTTTTCAGTCAAAATCCACACTCATTTTTGTGTACAAAAAAATCACAGTTTGCACTCCATTACACATGTACAAATATCAAAACATCTCAAAATATTCCTGTTTTAAATCAGTATTTCTATGCTTTGCAGAAGCCGATGGAATCCAAACATATATCAAAATGTTTCTTATGACATCCTCTCCACGATCACTTCAAAAAGAAAACAGAAATATTTATGCGCCTGAGGCTGAATTGTCATGTTGAAAATACATGATGATATACATGTAGGCCTACATGTACATCATGATGTAGGCCTAGTTCAACAGTTCTCCACTAACATTAAATTTTGACATGTTTGATTTTAAAAAAAATTAACTGATACGCACATAATGGTAGATTTAATTTATAAAACCAAAATTCACTTACTACTAGCGATAATAATTAGGCGAAGACTCTACTCCCACCCAGTTGCATCAAGACACCATCCACGCAGCTTGTCAAATTTGTCACACTCGGCAACAAATACATATACATTAACATGCGCCGATCCGATTTTTGCTCGGCAATCACATGCCACCGTGAGGTCACATGCTGATTGTCATGTGACATTCTCTGCTGTAAATAATACCCTCTACAAATAATCGATGCATCCAAAAAAATTACAAGTATTTCACTTTTAGGCGGGATTAAGGGTATTTATAAATTATATAACTAATTAATTGAAAGGTTAAAGCTGTATTTCTTGTGTTTTTATTTAACTGCTTGGAAACTGGTAATAAATGGAACAATCCATTAACTATAAAAGGGGGGCCATCACTGTGTAACTCATTGCAGCGACTATACTGATCAATACGCATTCATGTCATTTATTTTTGCACTTCTCCAAAATGGGTATCGCTAGGTATACGCTCTGGGCTGTTTTTCTGTTATTCTCTCGCGAAGCATTGGGAAAATTGGTCGGAGGGTGGCAGTACGTCGACCCCGATGATGGCAACATTCAAAAATTGGCAAGATTCGCTGTAGATGAAATTAATTCAAGGCGAAATGACTACTTCAAGACCAAGCTGGTGGAAATTCGACAAGCTCAAGAGCAGGTGGGTATACGTACGTATACTCGGTTCCAATATCATCAGTATTGCGCTATCAGAAATTTTGAATTTTGCGTTGCCAGTGAGTTCCTAATCGGCAATATTCGCCCACGTAATCAATAATTTATGGCCTGAGGATAAATTTTATTGAAACAGAGAGAAAAATTCTGCATGTTCGCGTAAGTTTTGACAAAAGATGTAATTTTTCTGTGTCCATCATTACCTACCGTCTATACATAACTTTAAATTTTAACAGTTATTTCTAACGCCACCATGCCCTTGGATGTCCGTTGCTGGGTTCCCATATGTCAATTTCAAAATGGCCAAAGGTGTCTAAAGGCACATTTTAACTGCGAAAATGCCCATTTTTTGCAGAGTCAAAATAAGAGCTTCTGCATTGAACTTTTTGCATGCGTAAAGCTTGCCTGCCCCCAATCTCCATTACAGTGGACTTGTATCCATTGTACTTTTACCCCCCACGCCCAGGGCAATTAGCAAACAATTACGTCGGCATTATTGTCACCATTTTTGCTTAAAGAACTTACAGCTTATATTTAGAATTTGTGACGTAAACAGGATCAATTTTGAATAAAATACATGTAGTTCAGGTCTAATGAGATGATTCTAACTCTTGAAGAATTAGGACTCAGAAAGAAAACATTTTTAACAGTTGTTTAAGACATCAGTAAATTAGAGTGAGTCCACTAAAATATGAAATTTGCAATACCCACATATTATTTCTTCGGCAAAACACCAATTTAAGTAATAAGATGAATGTCAGAGTTATTGCTACATTTAAGATTGAGGTAAATAAGCTGTGGTGAAATAAAGTAAGTCATTCCTTTCTGGATTAAAAAGCGTGATGCAGTGCAAATGTTCCCATCTGATGTCCTCGGCATTTAGCATCTTTAAGGAGAAGACTGGAAAAATGGAGTCAATTGCAGGTAAAATGGAACAGTATCCCAAAATGAGGCTATTTTGTATCCCCTGAAAACAAACTCATTCTTTTTATATTTATTCATAAATAAAGTGCTTTAAAGGCCATCGTACATGTACAAACCATTTCTCAGTACTGCGGTAATCTATTCCACCTCCACATGCATACGGTGTGCACAGAGATTTTCTGAGCTATCGTAGAGGAAAATAAATTGAACCACAAGCAAAATTTTATGAATCAAGTTAAAAAGTAAAAAACAACAGCAAGGATAGGATAATTCAGAAAGGTGAGCGAGCAATCTTTACTTCGATTGGGAAATGTGATAACTACCGCGATAATAGAGTAACCCATCCTTAATGTACACAGTACTCTCTTTATGCGTACGCTGTACAGCTGGTACCGTTTAGAGCCTGAAAGTTGACCCCTGATGGCGTGCTTCCGGAACCCTTGGATAGGAAAAATAACGTGCACAGATTTTAGAATTTGTAATATTTTTTTCATTAAGTTACTTCTTAAAAAATCCAACGTGCAATAAGGGATTTGGAAAATATTTGCTAGTGAAACTGAAAAATTACCTGACCTAAAAGAGAAATATCCTGCCAAAAATTGACCCATCACTCACTTCCGGAAATCTATGGAGAATCTATGGCGGTCTCATACACAGATGAACATTTACGGTTTGAAATTTTATGGTAGTCTTCCTGTAAAAGCCGAAATAAAACAGATCAAAATATTTAGGTAAAATTCCTGCACCGATACCCTGTAAATTACATGTATTGTACAAACTTCAAAACCAGCTGTACAGTACTTTGCAGTTTATCAATAAACCTTTTGCGAGTTAAAGTTGAATAAAATCTGGTATACTTAGTCCTTCAAAATCACGAGAACATAACCGTTTGAATTCTCCATACTAATGACACTGTTGCTATACCTTGTGATTTGGGGCAAGCTTTTGCTTAGTTACATAAGAGACACCTTGCATCAATACACTGTTCTCAGTGGATAAGAAGAGCACAAAGGAACCAGGCCATTCCAGAGATGGTTGCTATGCAAAAGCTTGGCTCAAATCATGTGGTATAGCAACAGGGTCTTTAGTCTGGGAACTCAAATCGTTATATTTATGTGCAGTCAGATAACTCAGAGTACTACATTTAATTCAAATGTAACATGTATTGCTAAGTTTATTGTGTATTGTAAACAGCCGCACTGATGTGCATGGAAGAATAACGTGTTAATAAAGAAATTGAAAAATGGACTGTGAAACAGTGAACCAAAAAACTGACTAAATTAAAATGTTTTTTGTTTGTTCCCCCCCCCAGGTTGTTGCTGGAACTCTGTATCGTATGAACATCACCATCTGGAACACACTTTGCACCAAGAGTGATGCCGTCACTGACCTGGAAGACTGCAAGTTCAACCCTAAGGAAAAGGTACTGGTAGTTTGTAATTCATTGGTAGTCACATGGGGGCCGGGATGCTGGATTATTTGTATCCTGGACCCTGCTGTGACTTTCAGAGGAAACTGGAAGCCATTCTTTTTGTCATAAGTTTTTGACAGGCTTTTTAGTAAATCTTCACACTTTTGCTACTTTTTCCTGCAGTACTGGTAGGTTTTTAACAATTTTTCTCCTAATTTTCCTTCTTTCTCCTGGAAATTCCTATTTTTTTCTGCACTTTTTGTCCAACAGTTCCGAAAAATGAAATCTCGAGGAATATGTTTAATAACAGTAAATCGTATGACAGGCTTATATGCATAGGAGTTGCAGATCCCAGGTGCTGAATGTTGTACCCTTGCATGTACCCCTTTGGGTGCACCTTAACAAAAGGGAATTCTACCATTCATTATGTTCATCAGCTTGGTATAATGCAAGCTACTCTTGAATGACCACAGAAATCCTACTTTCGTCCCTGCTTTGTCCTCAAAAGTTCTACTTTTGCCCCTTTTCAAATTACAATTTGTGCTTCCTATTTTCTCCTATTTTTTCACCTGGGTCTCTGGAACAAACAAGTAAAGTCTGCAATAATGCACATCAGATTTAGTGGTTTATTATACAAGTCATCCATAACTTGACCCTGGATTATGACCCCCATACATCTAAACAGTTACCTACATCTAGCTTTAACACAAAAAGATCAACTTATTTATTAATCACCACTTCCATTTCTGGTCAATGGCTCTAATAAGATTCTTTAGATGGGATCATAGGATGTAGGGTTTCCTCGAATTTGTGAATAGTATGGAGCTCATGTTCACGTTAGCCTAACCCCCTAGGGTGTACATGTATGTAAAATTAGATTGAAATCAGAGGATTTGGGACTGTCATGGCTATACTTTAGTTCAGGGCAGGTTCCAACAAACAGGTGTGACACTGTCAAGCATCAATCTCTATGGGTATTGAGTTCATTTTCATTAAAAGGTGGCTGATTAAAAGGTTGAATTTAATCTAGTGAATATGATCTTTGGTTACAAAGTTAGAAATTGTGGTTTGTACACATAAATTGTAAGAAAACAAAATTCATGTGTATGGTTGAAATCTGCATTATACTTAAAATATCAGTAAATGTCAGTGCGGGGGGTTGATTTGGAGAAGTTTCTTTCCATTGCAAAAGTAGTAACAAATTTTTGTGGGTGGTTAGGGGAAAATATGTACTGTAAGATGTACTGTAAGATGGAATGTGGGTACCGGTACATATATATGTCGGTTTGTGGAGCTTTTGCAGGAAGGTTTGTTGGGATAAACTGTATTTTTCACCCCATACATACATGTAGATCCTGTTGATTTCACAAGAATTATGATGTCAGGTGAAAGAAAAATGTTCTTCCCTCACAGTTTGTATTGAAGAAAGTCAATATTTTGGATCATATCTCCAAACAAACTTAGCTTGATTGGATGTGCCTTAGGTAATGCTCAGACTATTTTTGGCAGGAGCAGTACCATGTGGGCATGTAAGCCTGAATTCACCCTCAAAATAGCAATTTTTATTTTTTTTGGCCTTGGTCATGCTTGATTCAACAGAAGGAGCGGTGCACCCTGAGTGTATTGGTGGTGCCCTGGCAGAAGAGGAGAAGTTTGGAAGGATTCGATTGCACAAAAGAAACCGACAAGGTAACAGACAAAAAGTAAAGGGTATGATCTGTTCTTGATTTTTGACCTCCGAATTCTTGTGTGTGAAAAGTTTAATCATTCTTCATGGTTTTCTAACCTTTTTTGTAATTTACCTAAATGAGACACAAGTTCATGTCATCAAAACAGCTTTTAACAAAAATCTAACCCGGTTAGTAGACTTGATAACTATGCTGTAATTCACAGCAAGGGTCGAGGCAAAGAAAAATAATATACATATGGAGTTGGGTAAATGGCAAAGGGGAAATGACCTAGAAATAAATACATGTATGTATGACTGTCACATGGTAAATAGATACTCGTGACTTTCCAATTACTGTGAAATTTTGTGCAAATATTGCTCAATATCGGTATGTTGAACCAGGCTGGAGGAGATGTGACTTGACATGCTTGAGCTGTGTTTTCCATCACGTACTTGTGCATGTACATGTAGTCATCTCATGATGGCTTTGTCTTCTTTTTTTATTGTGCGTATTTCCTCATCTTTACTGGAGCCAGATATCACAGAACAGCTTCCTCTTGTACGTGGAGTGCTTTCTGTTTTGGTGTGAAAAAGGGAAGGACACCACTTGTTATATTTCAAATGGTCCCTAATATGGTTCTTTGAAAAGAGCGGTGGCTACTCCAGTCTGAGAGAGTGGTTTTATAACTCCTGTCCAGAGTGGAAAACCTCTCAAGAAGATGAAATTTCATTCTAAAATCGTGGAAGACTGCTCCAAACAGAGTTGTCCTCCTGTGGCTCTCTAATGCATTTACATTTGAAGAACACATTGTGATTATTGTGCATGTGCTGTAACTTGACATAAAAGACATATTCCAACTTGACATAAAAGACATATTCCAACTTGTAGAGTTTTTGAAGTACATGTACATTGTTGTGGATGTTGGAGTGTGTGTCGTCATAGTGAAATTGAAAGCTTGGACAATGAAGCCTCAATCTAGAGTTTTGATGTTTTTTTAATTATTTTGGTGTGTGTGTGATTTTTGTGTGTGATGTTAAGCTTCAAATTAAGAGTTGTTTGTCTTATGTCATTTTAAAATAGAGCTCTGCCGAATATTTAATGGATTATCGAAAATTCAAATATTATTTTCCAAATTTGAATATTCGAATGCAAACTTCATTGAAAAGGAAGGACAAATTTTCTTTTCTTTTAAATGAGAAAAATTGCACTATAGAGGCATGTTTCAAGCAGATACAAATGAAAAGTGACAGAAATCTTACGATTCAAAAAGTGAATTATTAATTTAAAAATTTAAAAGGAATAGAAATTTTCAACAGGACAAGAAGTATTTTTCCTCTCTTAAATCTTGCTAAATCATAGTTGGAGATACTCCTAGATGTGAGGAGCTACATGTATTACAGTGATCATAATGTTCCATTGTGTGTGTATTGCAACTGTTTTGTATATGGTTTGTTCATCAACAATCTGCCCGTTTTTATGACCGAATTTTTCGGATTTATTTGATCGAATTAAATGTCAAATATTTGAATAGTGAAATATTCGAAATGACTCAACATTATTTTAAAATATTCCCTTTCAGTGTAAAACAAGGAATTACCTGTATACCATACCCTGTGATGTTTCTGCCTCCATAATCTTCTGGTCAGGTACATGTACATGTATATGTACCTGTCAAAATAAGAGGCCTTGTACTTTTTTGAGTTGCCCAAATAAGTCAACTTCTCCAAAGCTAAAAATCAGGAGACTCTGTCTGAGCTGAACAACCATAAGATTTATTTCAAAGATGGATTTGCGCCGGGGAGATGTAAATTAATTTTGAATTTTGCCTTGCCCGATGTGTTTTTTAACACTGTATACTCAGTGTATGCCCCCGAAGGCTTGTAGAAAAACTGCAAGCGTACTCGGGTGGGACTCGAACCCATGACCTCCTGCTTACTAATGCAGACGTCTTAACCACTCGACCACCAAGCTTGCGGTGTTGGCTGGCTGGTGCGAATCAGGTGTAGGAGCGGGTACAACAAACTATTTCAAAGATGGATTATAAGATACCATAAGATTTGATGTCTTTAAAACATAAATCGCACAAAACAAAACAAAAAAAAACTGCATCCATTGTCTCAGAATGGCTAGTTTATGCACACATACTGTTCTATGCCCAGAGGCAAGTACATGTAAGTTCCATGGGTTCATTTGTTCCATCTTGTTTTATTCAGCAGGGTTGGGTCTTGGTACACATACCTTACTGGAAAGTCGCTCACCCAAAAAGAATGCCTAGGAACTGTATCAATGTACATGTATGTGCACACTATTTAATTGGATTTTCCTGAATGGTGACACTCTTGTTGACTTCGTTATGGCAGGTCTTTGACAGTTATCCCTACTACCAGGAATTTGAAGATTTCAGACAGAAGTTCAGCCGCCGCTATGAAAAGAATGATGAAGGTATTTTTACATACTAGTATCAGTTTACATTATTTTTAGCTGCATTTTTGCCTTTTGCCTCTTTCTCAAGCAGGCTATATGTATATTTAGAATACCAAAAGTGACAGAATAATCCGATGAGCTTTTGGTATTGAGTCAATGTTTTACACTTGCAAGTTTTGCTTTCAAACTAATATCATCCTCCCAAAATAAGTCATCTTCCAAAAATGTTGCTGTCATTCATTCTTCATGCAGGTATTTATAAAGATTGCTTCACATAGTGTGGTAAAAATTAAAGCGAGACCCATCTAGAATGTATTTCATTTCTTTTTAGATTTGTGTGACATGGGAAAGCTCAAAACCTTTGCTAGAAAAGTAAAAAACAAATTTGAAAAACTTCAAAGACTAACCCTAACCCCCAAGGGTGTATATGTATTGAAATAGGAGGATTTTGGACTGTTAGGGCTAAGGAATACTTTTGTCACAGTTTATTTGAATAGCTTGTGACTTGATGGAATGTGATGGACATACAAAATAGGATAGACTTCAGAAATTGGTGTTGAATGTGACCACAATAAATATTTACACGTACAGGCAAATACCTTCATCTAAAGTTTCCCTACATTTATCTACTGTGCTGTGTACAGTTTCATCTGCCATCTTGTCTTTGTGAATTCCTAGAATATGTTAAGAGGTACTACCTCTTCAGTGACAACATGGAGAGAGTGCGTGTCTACAATGAGAACGAGAGGGGCACTGCAACCTACGGTGCTACCAAGTTTGCCGATCTTCACCGTAAGCCGCTTCACAAGAAATGTGCAACAAGCGTAGAGCTTCCTTTTGGGCATTGTCGATTTTTGACTGTTGCCACATTTGGTTGGGCACTTGCTTGATTTAAACCTGTAGACGTTCTCTTATTTCAGAAAGTTCTAACTTGGTTGGCAACAACGTTTGCCTCTAAATGCGCATTTGTTCCAGTGAAGCAGAGGAAATTTTTCAGTAATTTCAAGTCATCTGTTATTGTTGTGATAACTACTGTTTCTAGAAGTGTACAAGTGACTGTACAAGTCCTTTCAAATCGAAATGGAAGTACATGTACATTTGTGTGAGTTTCCATTTTCATATGAAGTGTATTTCTAAAATCCTGAAGAGTTTATGAGTGACTTTTTCAAGCAGATTTTTTTTCAAAATGGAAGAAAGCTTCTTTTTTAAATTATTTTTTTCACTTTCTTCTTGCGTACTCCCTTCAGCTAACGAGTTTAAAGAGATGTACACAGGCCTCAAGAGGACGGCCAAGTCTCCTCCACAAGATGACCTCCAACAGGCCAAGATCCCGAGTGGCCCCACCCCAGCCAGCTTTGATTGGCGGACCCGGGGCGCCGTGACCCCCGTCAAGAACCAGGGGCAGTGCGGGTCCTGCTGGGCTTTCTCCACCACGGGAAACATCGAGGGACAGTGGGCGCTCGCAAAAGGGAACCTGGTGTCCCTCTCTGAACAACGTGAGTTGGCTACCCATAGCGATCGTGTCCCAAGTACTAGTTACGACGTGAACTCAGCAGTATTACGGGCACATGTGGCCAATTAATTAGAATTTGGAGCACCCCCAGCTGTATGTCCGAGGTCATGCAGAGACTTGTGTGAGATCTGCCCTCTCAGCACGTCCCTTCATTGCTCCCCACATGTGTTTGGTTCCCAAATGACCTTGTTTTTTTAGCAAATAGGGAACTGGCTCGCTGACATTGAAACCAAATTCAAACTGTTTTAATTTGTTTGACAGATTGCATATTAGCTAATCACTCTTGGAAATTATAAAGACTGGGTTCTGAACTTATGAAATCGTTGTTAGATGTGAAAGCGACATGAAAAAAATTGGACCCTAAATTTATAGAATAAACCTTACTCCTAGTACCGGTACCTTTCTCAAGAGCATACATGGGTACCCATGAGGACAGAGATGGTTTCTGGATGGCCATATGCACTTGAAATATGCCACATCAAGCTGTTTGCAGGATTTGGGGATGGAATCAGAAATGTTCAGATACTTATGAGCCCAGTGAACAGAAACAGTAGGAAATCGGCACCTTTGAATGGCAGATATTATCAGATATCACTTACACATGGTGACATGCTCATTTTAGCCTTGTACATATATTCCCTTTTCTTGTGTGATTCGTACAAGTCACCAGTTGTAACTTTGCCCGGGCAAGCAAGGAGCAACTTTCATTTTAGATACATACTTGAAAAGGTCTAACACAAGCAAACATGTGGAGCAATTCTCAAATGAATGTTTTTCGTTTCTAGAACTGGTGGACTGCGACAAGGTGGATGAAGGGTGTGATGGGGGCTTGCCAAGTAATGCATACCAGGCAACCATTAAGATGGGTGAGTAGGCAACAGTTAGCCATAAGGTCACATCACAGATTAAGCAGCACTGGTGTATTTACAGATCAGACAGTTACGATCAGCAGGCCTCTGGTTTGTGATAGTGATTCTTTGCTTTTCCTTCCGTAACCCCCGAGTCCTTCTCCAAATTTTTTATACCACATAAGATGACAGAGAAAAATGCTTACTGTGAAGGCAACAAACTTACCTGTCGGATTGGTCAGATTGGATTGCATAATTAACAAATGGATCTGTGAACATTTGCACATACATGTATATGCCAACTGTGTGAACAGTTAAGTGAGGCAGGTTTGCGGAGAGTGTGGTTTGGAGGAGAACCAGTGTGTGAAGACTTATTCCATAGAGTAAACCCTTGTCCTTCTTTTCTGCAAAAGAGCAAGTCTTCATCCGTCCTTTTGTCTTTTTTAACCCACGCACTCAGGCGGTCTAGAGACCGAGACTGAATATCCCTACAAGGCAGAAGATGAAAAGTGTGAGCTAGACAAGAAGGACATCACAGTTTACATCAACAGCTCCGTGAAGATCTCCTCCAACGAAGAAGGTTAGTAAAGTGAGGAAGTGTCTTTCAGTGGATGTACTCAAGATTGGTGGAAAGAACAAATGTTTGAAAAGCCTTTAAGTTTCTTTGCAAACTGCCTTGAACAGTACAGCTCAGTCACATGTTTTTATGAAGCCTGTTATGTTTGTTATGGGGGTGCTGTATTTTACTTCGCAAGCTGCACTGTCCATACCCTCTTTGTGGCACATCACATAACTTCTGAAATATCAACGATCAATGTTTCACCCTGAAGTTGTGCATCCCTTTTATAGAAGTTGTGTCAGAGTTTGTGACTTTTTAGATGTTAAGACCACAAAATCAAACCTGCCATTGTTGATCAGGTGTCAAGTATCCATTAGATCCTGTTTTCAGAGCCTGAGTTTATAATCAGTGTCCCTCAATTTTTGTTGTCTCGTTATGACAGAGATGGCCAAGTGGACGGCCAGCAATGGTCCCATATCCATCGGCATCAATGCTGCTGCAATGCAATTCTACTTCGGCGGTGTTTCTCACCCCTGGAGGATCTTCTGTAACCCCAAGTCGCTGGACCACGGGGTGCTGATTGTGGGCTATGGCACAAGTATGTACAACGTCTGGAATTTTTGGAACTTGTACTTTTTATGGCCATTTTCTCAAATGCTTGTTTTCATCTTTGACTGTGCTAGACGTTAATACCCTGAACTTTTTAAATCAGTGCAGTAGGGACTGCCCTCTGACCCACATGGGGTGACATGCATCCACACAGTTCTTTATAAAGACTATGGCACCACATATAGTATTTAGGTTCTTTGGCCAGCTTTCAAATATGCAATATTTGACAAAAGTACGAGAAAAACACAGAGCTAGCACCCAGTGCACCCATTCAGCATGATATCAAGTATCATGCATGGCACAAAAGGTAACAATTATGCCATTTTATAAAGAATTCATGGGCTATTTTTTTGTAAGTATGGCCCTCACTGTCTGGTTTAAAATTACGACATACCAATGAAAGCAGTTAAATAGGGGAATCTTGAAAACTTTACTCCAACATGACTTCTACATCATCCCCCTTTTTTTGTTATACAGAGCCTGGAATCCTGTGGGGCAAGAACCCCTATTGGATCATCAAGAACAGCTGGGGAGCTGACTGGGGTGTAAATGTAAGTTGGAGAACATGAAAGATGGAATGAAAAAGTTAATGGGAATTGTTTGATCTGTTGTGTTTTTAACCACTTCATGCCAGGGTTCCCGGTACCGCAGACCGTAGGTTTATACGCATAGCTGGGGTTGCCCAAAATTTAGACGAAAGACCGTACTCAGAATGAAAGATCGAGCTGCTGGGAATTAAGAACATTTTTTTCAATTGTCAATAGCGGAGGTAATCCGTCATTGTTTTGAAACAGTGTACCTCTGTTTGTGGCATTCAGGGAAAGCGGATATCACCAGGGACAAAAGCGCTCCAGAGATTAGCAGTACAATACCGCTGCACTCTAATCTGGCCACATTTGAAAAGACGCCACCAGTGCCTTGGGCCCCAATTTTTGGAACACAGGAAATTATGCAACACCGCAAAATCTGGGCTCTCTTTACAAGGTGGCAGGCCAGGCTAAAATACACTGGCATCAATAGATGTTGCCTGTCAGATTAGAGTAGCCACCAGACAGTCATTCATGCGCTTGTAAACGTTTCGTAAATGAGGTTATGAATTTTTGAAGAATTTTGAAAATGCAAAATCTTGAAAATCCCCTGGGAACATGTCATGCAAATTCTAATTAAACCCAACAGCATATGGTTAAGAGAGTTCGAAAAAATGAGTAATGTGACACAGTGTTGGCTGTGTGGTAGTACATGTACATCTTTATGAAGACAGCAAGACATGGAGAATCCAAATGAAATGAACATTCCATGCGCATGTGATGGAATGCATTACTTTGGGGAGCCCATGGGGTGGTATATGGTCAAGTTTTCAGTGCTGAAGAATGCTTTTAGTTCACAGAACTAAAAAATACTACAGCTGTACATCACAAGAAAGAGGGGACATTTTTTTCCAGTTAATTTGAGCAGTGTCTGCTTCCGTAGACAAATCCATCAGTGCTACATTTGATGGATATGACCTTTTTTGTCAGTTAAAGATCTTATCATTTAAATTCATCACTCAAAAAGAAAACAGACAAACTCATCAACTTAAGGAAAAGTGGAAATGTATGCCTGACTTCTATGGAGACCACCGCTCTCAACACGCTAAGCAATAGAATAGAATATAGAATATATACGAAATTTCAGACGCATTTACCCAATGACCGAAGAATTTCCATATGCTGTCATTGCTGCTAGCAAGCATGAAGTGACACTTTTATCCACTAGCAGCACAAATCACGCACTACACCTTCCCTATTCAAGATTCCCGCCCTGAGCACTGAGCTATACACTCATAGCCATATCATTGATAAATTCGAGGTGTTTTAATGCATTCTGGTACTCGACCAAATACATCTCCATTTACAAGCAGTGGTATCAGCGATGTATCCAGCTTTTGGCATCTTGGGGGAGGGGGAAAATTCAAAAGCGAATGCGGTTTTGGGCTCATTAAACATGATTTTGTGGAGAAAACAATATCAAAAGCCACTCATGGTCCCAACATCCTTGCTTTTAATTCATGGTGTTATTTTGTTAGGATGTTGGTGCTAATATTTGATGAATAAATATACAGATAACTTTCCTACGTGTGAAGTACAGTATTCTTTGTTTGAAAAAAAAATCTGCAAAGGGGGCAAGGTGTACTCCCCCCACTGGATATGCCACTGAGTGGTGTATTGGGGGGGGATATGTTGCCCTTTTTGTTTTGAGGAATTGAAAGCACCAGATTGTGAATTGACTTTATTCAGAGTCTGCCTTATTGAATTAAACGCAGTGAAATGAAAGTTCCAGTTACAAACTAATGTCAGCTTACAATGATGAATAATTTAAACTTTGTGGTTACTCATGTCTATATGTTTTAAGCCACAAATGAAAGCAAGACTTGAAACTCTATTAGTCTTGCACCACTCCACTTTACAGGTTACATTTTAACCTGTGAAATGGGGTGGTGCAAGATTACAGATTCAGTGTAACCGTTACACTGAATAAGATTATATTCAGGGAAAACGATCAAAAAGAGTTTCACCCATCATCTTGAGTAAGATCTGTTGTCTTGTAATTTGAGCTGGTTTCAACTTGCAAGGTAACCGCATGACGAGACATAGCAAGTTACATTGATTCAGGATGTTGATGACAAAATAAAAACTGAGCCCCTTTTGGGAGCATGGCCTTTGGAATGTAGCAATTACGAGATTGATGACAAAAGAACTCTTGTCTTGTTCCATGCAGGGCTATTATCTCGCATACCGTGGCGATGGTGTGTGTGGGCTGAACACCATGTGCACTTCTGCTGTCGTCAACTAATCCTCGACGTTCCTTTCATAAAGAGCTTCGGGGGTAATGACAAGAGCTAGTGATGCGCATAAACAATTTCATTACTGTTCCAGACCATAAATATTCGAGGTGCAGATTTTTTAGCGGAGGTGGATGTCCAATGAATATGGCTGATCAGATTTCTCCTTCAAACAATTTTGCCATAGAACTTTGAATGACAAAGTAGCAACTTTTGCAAAAAGCGTATTCCGCTCATTCTTATGGGATTTTGCATTTCCATTGTAATCCTAACAGGTCGTTTTAAAAGGTGGATTTGTTTTGAAAGGACAATTTCTTTGGCTCCGATCATTAATTTGTTTCTGTTCAGTGAAATAACACCTCAGTGGCCTTGCTTCATAAATATACAAACATTAAGTTTTAGTGATTATTACATTGATATAGAATATGAACAACTCTGCAGTGTCCAGGAAATCGCAACAGTAGACAAACTAGCAGCAAGAAGTAATTCTACCTGGAAGTTGCGTCTGTTTAATGAATATTCCTTGTAATCTCACTTCTCACGTCATTTAATCAAGTGTTATTGTTACTCCTTTATGAATAGTCAAGATATTAATGGTGATGGCATGTAGCTAGAGAGAAGTATTGTTTTGTTATGAAGTTTTGATATACTTGTACATGTATCTACAAAGTGACTAGGCTGTACAATTTTATTGAATAAGTTGAGAATGTGATTTTTGTAAAGGGAAGGACGTTTTCAAATGGCAATTATGGACGAAAAGATTGTGTATAATGGTACGTGTGTGATCAGTTTTCCCATTTTTCACTGCTAGTATTTTAACCTACATATTAATTTCATGTACTAGATCTTCTTGAACTGTTTTGTGCATCTAGAGTTCCCACAATTAAATGTGATGTACATGTAGTTCTTTCCTCGGCACAAATGTCATTCTACATCTGATTGTAGGGTAGTTCGGCACATATTTTCTACAGTAATTCCAGAGATCGAAGTTTTATGTTAGATTTGTTTAGTTACAGGCGACGAAGTGATAAAGTGTATTGGAATGTAGTTGGGTACTTTCTGCAGGATGTGGGCCTCATCACACAGTTATTAGGGTAATTTGGATGCAGCTGAAGTGAATTGTGTGAAAATCCAAGTGAGTTGTTTGAATATTTTTTTCAATTATGAAGAATGTCTCCTGAAATTGTTCAAACTCGTTGTTGCTGGTCAGTTTCCTTCTTCAGATTGGATAGAGCCAGGGGTGTGAGTATTCACCTTTTTAGCTAATTTCGGCTCCTTTTATTCAAATGTTTACTCTGGATGTACAAAATTATTGGAACCTTCTAAACATTATTTCTGGGTGCTTACATTCACCTGTAGGTACCCACATTCCAGTGAAGCACCTTTTGTTGTGTGAGGTGGTCTCAAAATGAATGTTGCAAACCCTAGTAGAGAGTCCTTTTCTACTTGTCCATCTGTACGGCAACTGAAATGTTGGAGTATAGTTTGGTAGCATACTAAACCGTTGTACTTAGGGTGAAGATTATTAAATCTTTATATATTCAGAGGGAATTAGTCACAGAATAATCTCTGTCTGTGTGGATTTTTAGAATCTGTCAAGAACAGATCCCGTAATAGATGATTTTAATTACTCGAACTTTGAGCGGGAAATCGAGGCATCACTTCTCTTAACTGAAGTTTTAATGGTTCAGAAAAAAAGGCCAGCGTTTGATCTCTGATTTGCCACATCTCTGCGAAATGTTCATTTGCCATGCAGCTTAAAAATAAAGCTATGTACATGTATTTATAACATCCCCCAAATTTCAAAAAAAATCAGATCAATTATATTTCATTTTATATATGATAGAGGTGAGAGCCAGGATTTTTTTTATTTGAACTTAAAACGTCTCATCGTGGTGACTTGGCACTAACTGATAAGTAAATTGGAAGCCACTGGCGTTAATGTCGCTGTCGGATTGAAACTCGACGACGATCTCCGCCACGGGGAGTACTTCGGTCGTTGGCGGCGGCCTGTATCCGCAGTGCCTACAGTAATACACGAGAAATATCAGTAATTTGTTACAATTTTCTGCAATATGGGTTAGTCGTGCCCATAACTGCTATAAAAAATATTTACAGGGAGCGTAATGGGATCTCTCCTTGTAATTTCTGCAACGGTCTTTGGCTCCACTCGCACAATTTCTATGAGGCTTATTATTTACTGGCACATACCCGTCTAAATGAAATTGATCAACTGGCCTCGTGAAAAAAAAGAGGACGGTTCACGACTTATCCGAGTCGCATCTTCAGCTCTGACTGACTTGATGGCGGATTTGACGTTCTCTCCGTGGATTTTGCACGTAAGTCTAGTTTACCAGTTTCCTATTTGTCTTACTGTCAATCTACCTGGATGAACCAAAATCTCCTATTTAACCGTCTGAATGGTTAAAAAATTCTATTGTGCTGTGTCCGACTTCAACGCATTCGGAGCCAAAAGCTTACAAGCATTCAGCTGTATAAGTGATATGTTATCAGTCTGAAATATACCCTACTGAAAATGGCCAATTCATTCATTTACCTATTGAGACCAATTCACTTACCCATTGGATACAATTCACTCACCAATTCAATAACCTATTCCAAACCAAGTGCTTTTGCTTAGAATCAGTTGGAATCCAATTGGGTTCAATTGGTTTGAATAGTAAATTCACACCTTTTCTCAGTTGGACCCTTTCCAACCAATTGAAACCATTTCAATACCAATTCAAACCAATTGAGTCCCTTTAAAAAATCCATTTGATGGGGGAAACAAGCTGAAAACAAATCAATTGGAACCATTTGCATCCCATTTGAAATTTCCAATTGATCGAGGAAAACTAACAGACAGAAAACATACCAACTGGAACCATTTGATCCCCATTTGAAATTCCAGCTGATGGGGAAAAACAAGGAGAAAGTGAAGAAGTCGGTCCTGACTGGTGTCCGTGTGCCCGCTTGGGGCATAATTAGATCGAGAGTGGCGAGTATAGGGGTGTAGTGTCCCAATTCAAGGAAAACTCTCCGCCAGGCGGAGGCGCTTAAAAAGTACCCCTTCACATTCTGTCCAAAAGAGGGGTCTGTCTGGGCCAAGAAATTGTGGGATTGTGTAAGTATGGTTTATAATCATCTCTGTAGATTCAGGAGCACCCATCTGGGGCATAGCAGACAAAAATGTGTTTGAGAGCCCACGAAAGGTGAGGGATGTCATTTGAAAAATGGCTGCTGAGAAGACTTGGGAACATTCACTTGGGGGGGTTGTTTTTGGCAAATAATTGAAAAATGCACTGGTTAACCTACTAAAATTTGAAAATCAAATGAAATCTGAAGGACCAAACGACACATTGTTTTTATTTGAGAGGCCCAAGGGACTTCATTTGCTTGTCATGGGGCTCCAAACTTGGTTGATTTTACACTGCTTTTAATGGAATTTGAAATAGTTCAGTGCACCCACAAAGCTTCTCACCTCTGCCGTAGAGGGCTCATGTCACTGTTAAGATACTGGAAGTAGTCAAAAGAACAACCCTCCCCGCCTTCCATAGCGAACGAATGAAAGGTCATCTCGATCGACGAATTGGCTGTACCCTGCAGTACATTTTTGGCAAAGAATTTCACAAAAATCACAAAGGTGAGAGTTTAAAAGTCAATTTCACCAAAAGTTTTGATTACGTCCCTCGCGTTTGGCAACAGGGGATAAACAACAGCATAGGAATTATGGAAGACAATAGAAGAAAAGCTTAGTAGAAAAGTAAAGCAAAAACAAACTTTACGTCTTTGTAACATGCTATTTTCGACTTTTCCACTTTCCTGCTACTACAAAAGTAGTTTTACTTTTCTTTTTCCTGGCGGCCTAAAAGTGGCCATCTGCTTTTTCCTGTCAAACTAGCTGGAAAGTGGATTGAACGTTTTGACGACAATTGTAAATTCAACTTTTCTGCTTTTTGTGATAAGAGAAGCAGATTTTATACAGGTGGCCGAAAAGTGGTCATCTGTTTTTCTGTCCTCAATGGGCCGTGAATAGGGTCATGAACCTGTAGGTTACGACCATTTCCGTTCAAGGGGAGCGAAGACGTGGAAACCAATACTTAACCATGCTTTCTGGGGACCAATCCCATACGGTAGTATCAGTGACCCGTGAGGTAGAGAAATGAGCATCTCAAAGGAAATACATGTATACCAGAGCAGTTTTCATTTGTCATCTAGGAGACACACAAGCTTGCCTGGGCCATGGAAAGCATGTGAATCTTTCATTACAATAGATAGGGTGGACTGTAATTATTGGTTTCTACGTCTTCAATCTCCTAGAAAGGAAATGGTCATAATCTGTTGGTTCACGACCCTGTTCGCAGCCCTTGGAAGGCAAAAAACAGATGGTCACTTTTCAGCCGCCTATGTAAAATCTGCTTCTCCGGTTTAAAAAAAACAGAAACGTTGAATTTACGGTTGTTGTCTAAACGTCCGATCCTACTTTCTGCCTGTTCGAGAGGAGAAAAGCAGATGGCCACTTTTCAGCCGCCAGCGAACAGAGAAAAAGTCAAATCTGCTTTTCTTGAAGCAAAAAAAAAAAAAGAAAGAAAGAAAAAGAAAAGAAAAATAGAAAAATGTATTATCAAACAGTGTTCTTTCTGCTTTTGAGGCGGCAGAAAAGGAGAAAAGTCCGAGTTGAAAAATGCACTTCACAAAAATAGACACTCTGCTTTTCTTCTATCCTGATAGCAGAAAAGCAGATGGCTACTTTTCGTCCTCTATATAGGAATACCATTTTCCCCGCACTTTTTGAAAGTAGCTTTTATTTGACGATGTGACTTCGCCAAAAGACGATTTGATTTGACTTGCAGTTAATCATCGACTGTCTTTAAATTCATTTACCTTGATATACCAGATACAGTGCATGTCATTCTCGTAGTCGGCCGGAAAGTTTGGACTGGATACCTGTCCCTGTTCCTCTGTCAGTAACTCGACGCACCCTGTAAGAATCGGCAAGAATTCGCTCGTTGCCTGGCGCCCAAACAGCTGCGCTGGGAAGTGCTCAAGGCTTTGCACTGTGATTGGCTAGGCCTTTACATTGTACACGAATCGTGACCGCGAGGTTATCACTTCCTGTTGGCAAGCGTTACTTAATTTTTTTGGGTTCGCCAATGGCAATGCTTTAACAAGGGCAAAGTCTCGGCTGTGATAAAAAAAAACCACCGCCTTGGTTCAATCTCAGTGTAGTAATTTATCTTTCATTAAGTATCGCTGATCACGTGTCTTTTGGCGATATATTTCAAATCACTTGAAATCAGTGGTTATTTTGATCAATTTTGGATGAACGAATAAAGAGTAGTGAGAATATTTTCAGCAATGAGGAAGACAAAGAAAAAATATGGAATTGATAACTGCCGCTTGTGTAACGCATTAAGTGAGCTCACGCGCCTGGCAGAAATTTACCCACAATGGTGTGTGCGTGGTTAGCTGTGACCCCGGAGACGTATTTCCTTCACTAAAATCTGTGCAGGGCCATCGGCCCAGGTTCGGGCGCTGGGTGACGGGCGAATGGTATGAACAGCAAAAAAACAATTGTAAAAGCCAACACGTCGAGGGCTATCTTTCAGTTTGGAATGGTTAATGCCACTTCAACATAAAGTTAAACGCAATTTTCTCTCAGTAATATTTATGTAATCCCTCTGAGTTTGACTTGTTCGTAGGCGTTCATGTCTGCGTGCGTGGGGGTTACAGAATAGTCATGCCTATACCGAAAGGTCCGCTCTGTGATGTTCGGTTAGTCCCGAACAATTTCAATTGGTTTTTGACTAGAAATTGCCACCAATTACAGGCAGCTTTTAAACCATTTTATTGCTCAAAAGTTGTGAACATGTTTCTATTCCTGTATAATAAAACTTTTGAAACCTTGACGAACTATATAAACTATTTCTGCCCCCGAAAAAGTAGCAAAATCCACTGCCTGTCTTCAAGCCGTTAAATCTCTTGTTAATGTAATAAAAGTAATCGGGCGGTATTCAGCCTCTGTTGATGGTAACTCTGAGTTATAAAGTTTATTTCAGGTAATGTGGCCAATCACTTACTTGATTGTTTCGGTGTGAACAACGAGCAGTTCCAGCCCGAGTAGTCGTCCGGGCAGACGCAATCACAACTTGGCCCGATGTAACCCTCGTTCAAACATCGGGAATCCATGGCTGGGAGATCGCAGTGAGCTAAAGAAGAATGATGATTAAAAAGAAGATACTAAAGGGCGTGGTTGTGAAAGAAGCGGACTTTCTTTAGTGTTTCGTTCATTCTTACAGGTATTCCCACCAAGGGCATTTATTTAGTGTATCGGAACGTCTTGTGATGTCTTCCAAGTTTTATTGCATGACGATGGCTGTTCCTATATCCCTGCCGTAAAATAGGACATCCGTTGGATCATTGTGATGACGTCAGCGAAATCTTTAAAATGTGCAGTCTATACGTAGGACATTTCTCATAGTTGCTCAGCTCGCGGTGAGCTACCGTACTGAGCTTCCTTTCTCCATGCAGTTTTACCCCCAAAAAGCTTTCTCAAATGTTTGGACAAACGCATGCAAATGTGTAAATTCGTTGACATTTTGTCTGTAGAAAAGTTACACCCAAGACGGCTCACGGTGAAAGTTTAACTGACAGGGGGACTGCGTGATCTTGTAATAATCACCTGAAAATAAGGAAATTAACATTGTAACAGAATCACTGCGCTGATGGCCACGAGGACGTGCTTGGATATGATTTTTAAAATTAATGTTGCTGCAATTTTTGTAACTCGTAAAGGAACTTGTTTTGGACGATCACGCTGATCGTCGCGAATGCCAAGGTCCCGAGACTAAATTCTGCGTCCGGCACGGAGGGTTGTGCGTGCGCTTGTCTGATTTTGGGAAGTGGCGGAAATTCGCCTTCAATTAATCAATCAACGAGCAATCACCAAGCACTTCAGCCTACTCACCGTTGCATTGGTAGATGATGTTGGCTAGCTTGGCATCGCCGAAGCTCAGACCGTCTCGCCTGCCCAGGTTGGCCTGCTGTAAGGGATCGATGGTTGTAATGGTGGCTTCACCATTCATTGATTGATACTGGGGGTGGGGGAGAAAACCACACAAAACGGGTTTAGCAACCAAAAAAGGGAAAAACCCTAAGATGGAACGGAACTGAATGCGTGTAAACTATGCTTGGATGAGAAGATAAGAGGTGCATTAGACTATGAAAAGCCCAAAGGAATAGCTTTTCGTTGTGATAAACACTGAAAGCACAATGAAAAGATTTCCAGCTTTGAGGTTAGTAACGCAAAAGAACCTCGAGCAGAACACTCGCATGTGCCGAGTCAGTTAAGACTATAAGTATGACACATTGAAAAGGGAAGAGTGAGCATGTAAATTATTCATGGCACTTTGAACTCTCTGATCATAGAATTAAAGATATACTCGTAGGCCCTATGCCACAGTCAAATGAGATCATATTTGTGCAACTTAGAATGGTCATTTGGATCAACTAATTTTCTGTTCTTTTTCCTTTTGGGGGGGGGGGATGAACTTTTCCATACAAGCGTTTCTTTTCTCCATTGCTATTTACATGAGATCCGTAGTGCATGATCGATTTGGTGTCATACGGGACGTCCATGCTTGTCACTCGGCCCCAGTCGAGCTCCCTAAAGTCGTAGCGGTATCTCGGGTGGATGTTCTCGGTGTGAACGCGGATGTGATCGTCCCTGTCCGGGCGCGAATGTTCGTGGAAGAAACCGACAGCGTGGCCAATCTCGTGCACGATCGATCCCAGCTTCGAATAGGAAAAGAACTTATGTTTCATGCAGAAACAGAAAAGGTGGAATACAAATCCAAGAGCGGTTTGTGGGACTTTAAATACGTTTATCGAATACTTCCATTTATAATCTTATGTTAACTGTTGCCATTTGGGTTATCCATATTTTCATTTTATTCAATTAGGTTTGGCACTTGCTTTATCTAAACTTGTTTGACTTACAACAGCACATCCGTCCCCGATTGAAATGCTCTGCGCTCCATTGTGAGACCTTCCAACGCTTGACCAGCATCTGCCAAAGAAAGGTGATATGAACCTCTTTCTAAAGAATGAGGTACCTAAAACTTAACCCTTCTCTACAAACGTTCCGACTTGTGAACATGACGACGGAGAGTAAAGTACAGTGTTCGGACCTTATAAACTTGTAAGATCGAGAGTTGTTCGTAGAGCCACATGAACCCATAATAGGGACATTCAATATCGAGTGCCGTTGCCAGAATAATAAACATATACTGTTACTAAACTCATTAAATTTGAAAGCTTGAGGTGAGGGACAAGGCGGACTTCGCTGTAGAAGCACTTGTCTTGATGCAGTAACACTAACTTGGGCAATATTTCACATTAAATAGTCACGGATTGTCACCGGAGGAAATATTTTCACCGTAAGCCAATCTCCTTAGATCCATTAGTAAGGATAAACCACCAATAGACAGACACACAGCCAAGAGGCAGAGAGGACTTTCAGCCCGGTGGACAGATAAAAGGGAGACATTAAAACGACGTATGACAACATGTAAACTGAACCCGACGAGGGGGCAAGAAACGGTACGGTAACAGAAGTCCATGAAGTGTTCCGAATCTTAAAGAAGAGAAGGTACCATACCATCTCCTTTCACACAGCACCCAGACTGAGTCAAACTACAGACCGGACAGACCGGTTTACCCTGATCCTTTGAAAAAGACAATCTTGCTGCTGTGGCGCAGACGGCGGGCCAGTCTGCGATTAAACGGCCGAAAGTCTAAGCAGGTCTTCTCTTCCCAGTGAGCAATGGCCCCTTCGATTACACTACGATCCGACACTGCAAGGCAAGATACACTTGTCAGTCATTTTAAAGTGTGTCCCAAAGATGGTGCACGCAATTGCTGGCCATTATTAAACATGAACGGTCAACTGGCATTTTCCTAAATCCCATGGTTTTATAGAGGATACTGTTGGCTTAAAAATGCCTTTTATTTTACCTTATTTGCATTGACGAACCAAAGATACGCCAAGAGTATAAAGTTGAGTTTGTGTGATTACTGGACCTAAATGAAATAACAAAACGTGCATTTCAATTCTACCATTCTGATTTTGATGGAAATGCCGACAGGATTATGAACTAAAACATGCTGAGTAGTACTCGTTTTATTTACTTTTCAGCTGTAGAACCCACTTCTGAAGTTCACTTGAACTGCAGATTTATCTGAAAGATCTTGTCGGTGAGTTTCGAATTAAAAAAGAACTGGAGATGACATCAATAATGTCTTTCAATATTTATTCCAAAGTAATTCTGAGTAGATTTATTGAAGTCAAGGAAATGTGGTCAATTTTTTTTTCAGCGAACAACGAAATTGTGACGTACTTGAAGACCTGGATATTTCATATGGGACAATTCCGCCGGGCCACAGCCTTGCCACATCGGGCACTGCCTTCCTCCGCATCCGCTGTCTCCCGCGCGCCTCCGCTGGCTCTTCGTCCCGTGCTCTGTCCGCTTCTAGGTTGCGTATTTCAGAGAGCTGGTCCGCTGTCAGCATCATGTCTGACTGGACAGCCCCCGGGCTGGGTGTCTCCTCCCTCGGCTCTGTGGTTATCGTAAGGGGCGTTTTCGAGAGTCTACGAGCCGTAGTTAGGTCAGAGGAAGATTTCATCTGCAGTCGATAATTACAAATTGTAGTCGAATATTTATAGTTACACGGCCATAAAATGTATGGTGATAAAAGTTAGCAGAGTGATTGGAAGTTCGTGTCAGGTTTTGTTAATATGTGCAATTTTGGTTAACTTTCGTATTAATAATACATGTACTTGCATTATAATGGCGCCAAATTACCAAGGGATACACAGGGCTTACACATAAAAGAAAAAAAGGGCGATGATTTGCTACGTTTCTTCAGAGCAGATTGAAATGATGATTACACTCTCCGAGGCATAAGCAAAGTGGTGGGTAGGTGGATAGGGTGTGGAGCAGCAACAGAAATAAACCCTGTCACCAGCATTTTACGATACTTAGGAATTCTGGAAACCATCATATAAATAAAGGAATATGAACAGGTCTGGAATCTTAGAAGAGAAGATAGATATTTGCATAGTTCTTACGTTGTAAGTGACTTAAGAAAATGTGGGGGAATGCATTGATCGACCGGAAGACAGCGGAGCCTGAGTTCTCTAGGCAGAGAGAATGCATTGTGTAGGTTTTTGAAAGACAAGTTTGGCACATAGTTTCCAAAAGTGAGATGCCTGTATTTCGGCCCCTTCTCGGCCTCACAAGATGCATAAATAATAATTGATTCGTTGATTTCATTAACATCGCGAGTAATATCTCTAATAATGTTGAACCCTCAAAATAATAATGATTTCGTTTTTGCAAATTGGCCACAATTTGTCTTGTTATACTCTGAAAATGCAAGTACATGACTGCGCTAGTAAAGAAGATGTAATTTGGCATTTCAAACAAAACAGATTTCCTCAAGAGCACACCAAATACATTACCGGTGCTGTAGTTGGTCTAGCCGCACAGAATCCCACTTGAATAATCGCGATCACACTGGCAATTGCCAGGAAACATCTCAACTGTTGCCGCACACTCCCCCTGGGCACGCCCATTTTGTTCTCCTAGTAAAAAAGTAAGTCCTTTCAAGGTGGGGATCATGCAGAGAAATGAGGTCAGGTATCCACCACTCCGGGACCTGGGCGTGTCATTAACAGGGGGAAGACTGGGGTCAGTGAGGCGTATCAACCCCCATCCTCCAGCTTATAACCTCCTCCCCGAATATGGCTTTTGTATTTGTCCAAACATAATGGAGGGGATCACGCACTGCGGTCAATGCCTATTGTAGAAAGTAACGGGGTTGCTACACCGCACACATCGTTTTCCAAGAAAATGTTTCACAAATTCAATTTCTTAATTTTTAATGAAGACCGATTATATCGGGAAAGGGGCACGAGGGGCTTTTTCATTTGTAGCTGAGAGTTTATCACTACTTACATTGCAAATAACAAAACAGGCACTTTTTGCCTCGGGACTGATTAGATGAGTGGTTGGCGCTATAGGGTTCTGGAATGAAGGGGCTTTCACGCACGCAAACATAGCCTACTCTTGAAAGGCATCAGACTTTTGAGAAAGTACTTATTTCGGACCATGCAAAATTTACCTGCAAGATATACCTAAAGTCATATTAAAGCTGCCAAGCGCAATAAGTTGAAAAGACCTGAATTGTCGAGACATAGTCGACAAAACAGCAGAACATTTACATTATCTTTTTGACATCTCTCTTAAACTTGCTTGAAAGTTGGAATTTATGGAATGTTGTACGCAGTCCTACAATCACGCCTTTTAACGATGCAAACTTTTCCTGGATTTGATCATCAGAGACAGTAATAGTCACAGTTCCACTCTGATAGTTTGCGCATGGGCATTTCCTAGTAAACAGTTTGAAACTATGACATATCTTCCATTTCCCCCAAACTTATGCAGGTTTAGCGAGTTGAAATTTGCTGTATATTGTATCCCTTTCTTTAAGCTTTTGAACCATGTAAAATTTACCAAGATTTCGATCTTCATTCCCAGATAGTACTGCACTCAGTCACCTGAGATTTGGTCATCCAGCCTTTGGACATAATCCTGAAATTAGCATGCAAAGCCCCAGTATCATTCTGGCGGCACAATGAGGGTTATGTTGCTAACAAAAATGAGGGAAATGAGGAGGACAACTTGGACGAGCATTACCAAGGAACAATTCCTGTCCAAACAACAGTCTCTTTCTTTTATGGGGGAAAGTGGAATCGATATACCAGGCAAATGCAATTGCAGTAAAGTCCTTTGTGATCATCCACTCAAAGTAGTGTAAATTCTCCAGTTCAAGGTCTCCCTTGCTTGGAAAGGGTCGATAGATTGGCCAACGCGTTGCAAACTCTTAGAGGCGCACTATTGTGAATCGCCCGTATTGTGTGGGCGTAATTTGAGATGTGCCTACTTTTTCATAATTCACGCTAGTAGTGAAAGCAATGTCAGTGTTAGCATTGGGCCTGTACAGTTATTTACAAGTTTTCCACCGAAACGGCAAATGAAAATTGCCTTTGCGAATAAAATTGGGATGGGCTGGAAATTTCAAAGCAAACATTCATATTTGGCCTCTGTAGGCTAGCCCTACAGCAAATGCGATTACTGTCAGTGGGGTGGGTCATATATACCTGCCAGCTAAATGACGTTTAATTAGTGATATAAGATTACTCGATTTCTCCATACACTCGATTGATCTGATATCGATATCAGATTTTTTTTTATCATGTCGAAATATCACAAATTTTGATTGCGGGAATATCGAGCGCATCGGCTTCAAATCTCCTCCAAAATGTTCTCCTGTTTGTGGTTTTTACCTAATTGTAAATATATTTGTTGTAAGAGGAATTACAATTCTGTGGCAAAAATAATAAATATTGCAAAATGACGCCTTGCACCGGGTGTTCACAGTCTCTGCTGGAATTTGGCATCCAAACTGACTCCATAGAGAACCCACTGGCGAACCGGGCCCCACGGTACGTTGCACTATACGCGCCCCTATAGAAAACAGTGCAAAATCGGACCGAAATAGCGGCGCTGCCTGTTGACCCTAGGGAAGAGGTTGGCCTCCGGTTTTTCACTAGAAATTCAAGATTATGACCAGAAGTCCACGTTTTGTTTCATTTTTATTGGGGTTAGCCACGCTATTTTTTTAGCATTCGCCTTTCCCCGAAGTTACCCCAAAATAGTGCGCTCGTCAGCTTTGAATGTAGCCGCTCGCGGCGCCGCTGTCACGGTCCAAAATAGGCCCACAGGTGAACGTTGGGGCATTTTACCCCGAACTGAAAACTACCAGTCCCAAATTCGTGATATATGGAAATATCCCTATGATCCATCCTGATTATGACATGTCTTATTGTAAAAACCCTGACAAAATACTCATGAACTTGCGCACAGAAACCCTACGATTTGGTGGAATGCACCCCTACGGTTTTTAAAAAATTAGTAGTGAACTACAAACAAAATACTGCCCTCAAGAGTTTGTCGTTGACACAAATATTTTAGGGTTGCCTGCCTTCGAAGCGGACGGTTTGAAATTTGATTGCTTCTACATTTTCTCCATTTAAGGACAAATCTGTAACGGGAGTACTGAAAAGAAATTGACCATTTGGAAGGGAAGAAGAACTTTATTTAATAATAACACTTCGGCCTATTGGTTTAAGGTGAGAATTAAGTGTTTTTTCTTTCGTTCGCCGCACTTTCGCGGTCGGACATGTCGGAGCATGGTCGGAGGTTGTTTCATGTTTACTTCACTCGCGTAGGCCTACAGTACTTCTGGGCAAAGGGGTAACTCTCATAGTACAGGGATTTGCATGTTTTCCTCCTTTTTAGCTACAACGTGATAAAAATAACTGAAACCTTTTCGGTACAGTGTGGGAGGAATTCATAGCGCGTGAACAGTGGAATTTCAAATTCAGGCATACTGTATTTGATGTAAAGATTATAAGACGCCGATTACGCGTACGTGATGTATAAACAATATTATTGAAGTTGTGAGACTGTTTAGTCAATTTAGCTTTTGAAATCACCTTGGTAGATGACTGTGACATGTTCAATAATACTTAATAGCCCCACTAGTATGGCACACGAGTGGGGCTAGCTCAATAACTGTAGGGTTGTTGTAAAAAACTTAAGGGCAGGGTTTTGAGTTTTGAGGGAAATTATTAGGGAAAACTCAGTATTTTAACACATGCATGACATGACACATGGTGGATTCAAATTATTTGCGTGGCTGGTTTATCAGTAAGAAAGTCACATTTTCTCACAGTTTACAATTTGAAATTTCCAAAAAATAGGGTCAGCGCAATAAAGAGAGTGTTGCCTGGGGGGGGGGATATGTTAGGGGAGACTTACAGGTACCAGTTTTGAGAGATTAAAATGACAAAAATCTGGGTGGTCTCCAAGTATGCAATCCCCAGATTTTCTTCATAGACTAGAATACATTTTTGCTCCTTTCACTTACGAGTGTAAATATGGAGTAGCCACCACTTGACCAACAAGAGAGAAAAATCAAGATTCAGTGATGTCATCCTGAACGCGAGAATAAGGCTCAGAGTTGGGCCTTGGCCTACCTGATGGCTACCCCCAGAACTGTGGGGTCTGATGTCTGCCCTGCTCCCACGAGTGGGGTGGTGGACGACGTCGGACCCCACAGTTTTGGGGGTACCTGATGGCAGTGTGAAGTTCGGGCCTACATGTACATGTACATGACGTTGGCATTCAGTGTCGAACTTGTTGAACAAGTACATGTAGGTTAATTTTCATGACTTGATGACTGTTTGATATTCAACGTTGAATAAGTAACCATTTGACATTCGTCAACCGCTCAGGATGCACACCCTTAGAAATGATGGAATGCAAAAGGGACAAAAAACAAACTGTGTCGCTTACATAAATGTCAGGCTTGTTTGACCCCCCAAAAATCCCATGCCTAGGTTGCCTCTGTGGGAGAGAGTTAATTGCGTGTGCATGTACGTGTACATAATTGTGAAAAGGCATGTACAATGTAAATAAGGTACGTAAGTGGATGCTCATGGTGCTGCAGTTTATATTTTTGTCCCTTTAGCACTCCATCATTTTTAGAGGTGTGCACCCTTAATGTCAAATGGTTACTTGTTCAATGTTAGTATCAAATAGTTACACAACATACGTGTTCAACATTGAATGTTGAACGAAGAATGAGGAACTACACTGTAACTTCACATCGGTATACCTGAAACGTAGTGATATTGTACATGTATCTATATGTTCAATATGCATGATACATGTACATCATTACATATATGTTGATGTTGAATGCGATCGCACAATCTTTGCACGATCATTCGATCTTCTTGCATGCATTACACGATTTGTCGATCATTCTTTCTAATTTACTGTTTTCCTGGTTGTATAATATTGTCTGAAAAACATGAAAGAAGGGAAGTAAGGTTGGATATTTCGTAGAAAAGACAGGTAGAGGCACATCAGGAATGACCAATGAGCAGATGATGTGGCAGTGTAGGGAGGCATGGAAAGAACCGTGCATGCAGTGGGCAGTGCCAGTGTTATTGCTTTGAGATGGCTAATAGTAGGGAAAAATGAGTAGCACTCAAATTTGGAGTTCTTTCCATCACAAATCCTCAAACTTTTTAAGGGATTGAGTGGGAGGGTCAATTACTGTTAGGCCGAAATCCTAAGTCAAGTTGTCCAGACAACTGGATGACTTGGGTAAATGGTCAAGTTGAATTGGTTAGAGTAACTATTAAATTGACTGAATTCTGTTGACAGTGAAGCAGCCAAATGGTGCGATCAAAAATTCAGTAGGGGAATGAAGTGCTGTATTTCAAACCCAAGGGATTTTTCAGAGATGTTGCTCAGAGATGTGTTACGGTAGCACATTCGGGTTGAGGTTTCATTCTCTCTAGGTTGAAGTCACAAAGTGACTGGTATAGTAGAGGGTTTCCATGTCATGTCTTTGAAATGGAGCCAGTGATATATTTTCCTAACATGTACAGTGTACCAACCAGTTTCTGCTTTTGGTGCAAAATATCGTGTGGCACACCACTTTCACCCTGTTCTACAGTATGTACATGTGTTAAAAGAACCTACATGTACAGAATGTGCCCATTTAGGCACCGTGAACCTGTCCCAGTTGTTTAAAGTTGCTTTATGTACCTGTATGGCCTTGCACTAAACATATCCAGAGAGTGCAATAGCAGAGACAGAAGAGTGTTTTAAGGGACTTTGACGACAAATATTTCATCTATCCTTCCACACTGTCAGGTTTGAGACTTTGCATCCATGAGATGGAACTGGGATTTACCTCTTCGGTAACACAATTGGTTCAAAAAATTCTCTGAAAATCCTCTACATCCAATTAGCGTAGTGTATGATGAATTAAGCAATAAATAAGTGACCAATTATAAAAAGAAACATCAGGAACATAAAATTATAAAGTCGGTGATTAAAAACATACATGTATATACACGTATGGTATGCTGTAAGAAAGGGTTTTGAACAGAGGATATTATTGGAACTTTTTTGGTAGAAAAATTAAAAAGTTTAAGAAGTACACTATAGAATATCAAGTGCACCTTGGTGCAGGGAAACTTCAGACTAATGGCCAGTCTACAGCACATGCAGGTTGTATGTTTCTTCTACGTTTTATACCTGGTCTCTTTGTAACAAAAGAAGTATCCAAGGTTAGGAAAAAAAAGAAATTGCCACAACTTCATGTAAATCAAACCCCTTTCAGAAAGTGGGCAAATAAGCTCAACTGCAGAAATATCCCGCCACCCTGCATGATCAACTTCGTAGCCAGCTACGAGGTCAAACAGTCACTCTCGTCTCATGAGGATTTTCACCTCGTACCCACATACATGTAATCAGTCATTCCGGGGGCCTTTTCAGAGTGGCAGGGTATTCTGGAATCACTCCGCAAATAGTTTCACCCAATAGGCCTAAAAATACTTGTGTGTTGCTACCCTGGCGATATTTACATGTGCAATATATGTACTTTGTTTCGTGATTAAAAAATTCTGATCCCTTCACAGGCTTTTTTTTTTACCTCCAGCAGCAATGGATACCTCAGACGACAGCCTGCGTTTCAGCGAGGACGACGTCCGCCGACAGTTGGGCATGCTCGGCTACCACAACATTCCCACTGCACAGCTGCAACAGTTTGCCAAAGGTGGGCGCCAGCAGCTCCATGTTTTTTTGTTTTCCTCGTCAGACTCCCAAATTTGTCAGTTTATGTTTTGCTAGATGCATTTCTTTAATTAGCAGTTCTATCTTTGGACCATGCAACTTTCAAGTTACTCACTCCAGTCTAAACCAATCAGTCTCCACGGTGTCTCTTTTATCAGTGCACAGGCAAAGTACAGTGCTGCTGGGATGGCCCAAGTTTATTATTTTGGACAAAATATGTACATGGGCTTCAAAATCTGTGAGCTTGAGGCATTTATGTTGGTCCTTCAGACACAGAATTACGAGTACATGTATCAGAAAAAACTCGTCATCCATTTGAAAAAAAAACAATGAAAAAAGGGCCTCCCTCGTCCTCTTTACTTTCTTCAAAAATCCCCACAAGAAACTGTCGTAGTTTTTACTTGACCTTATCTTTCTGGTCCGTGCCGAAGAAGTGAGATGAACATGGAGATCACTCGCTTGTTAATTACAGATTTGGAGCGATTAATCAAAGACGAATCTGAAAGAGAAGGATTGATTGATACATCTGCCGCTTCTGACTTGGGTAAGCACAAGCCAGAGGAAATGTTTATTCTTACGCACATGGAAATTTGGGTTGTTTTGCAAAGTAACAAGAGGATAAGTTTGGGGTGTTACTCGCATAGTTCCAAGAAGGCAAATTGAAACTTCTCCGTGGCCAGTTCTCGCCTCAACCAGACATACAGTACATGAATGTGAAACACCTACACAGTTGAAAGATTGAGATCTGCATGTGTATTATACACATATGTACATTTGTATGTCTAGCAATGTGCATGTAGTAAATTGTTTGGGCAGGGGAATTTGAAGTTGCTTAATTTCGTTATCTGTGCCTCAAAATGGCAGCATTATGCTGTGTACCTGTATTCCCCAGGGGTCGAGTTGTTTTTTGTTTCGAAACGTTTGCAGGCCCGATAATCAGGGATTATAACAATGTACATGTATAATGTTGGTGTACCTTGATCGGGTTTCAGGATAGGTGCACCTTGTCGTTTTGAACCAGAGAGTGCAGTGGAAACAAATGGAGTGGCACACATGTTGGTTAATGCGCTGGTTCTCGCACTAATGCCGCGCACACACTGCGTTGTGCATGTGACACGTTCACTTTGGCTCTCTACATGTATATGGCCATATTATTATTGTTAGAACCTTGTTTTGATGGTTGCAGATTACACAGCTGAAGATCTGAGGCTGCCAGTCAGAAGTCATCCAATGCCCTACCCGTCAGCTGGAGGCAGACGGCCCAACTCAGCTCCCAGTGCAGCCAAGAGATCGGTAAGCACAGACCTATTAAACCTTGCTAAGAAATCAGTAAGCACAGGCCTGTTAACCCTTGCCAAGAGATCGGTAAGCACAGGCCTGTTAAAGCTTGCCAAGAGATCAGTAAGAAAGGCCTGTTAAAGCTTGCTAAGGGATCGGTAAGCACAGGCCTGTTGAACCTTGCCAAGAGATCAGTAAGCACAGGCCTGTTGAACCTTGCTAAGAAATCAGTAAGCACAGGCCTGTTGAACCTTGCCAAGAGATTGCTAAGCAGAGGCCTGTTAAACCTTGCCATTTGTTCAACACATTGTGTAAACTTCAGATTCTGTTGAACTGCAGAGAGAAGAACCCACCCAGTGTTGCTTTAAATAGGCCCTCAAGTCCAAATGTAAAAGGAAGTGGTTCGTTGGAAATTGTAGGATTTGGGCAGAAACGTGGAGCTTTCCGCAAACATGCCCAGGGGATAGAAAGGTAACTTAATTTTTGGTGGTATGTTTGTATGTACATGAACCTGTCCACAGAGAAAATGACAGATCAGTGTCTTGCTGTGAACTGATACCATTTATGTGTAAAACCAACAATGTATATGTATCCAAATCAAAAACAGTACAAGCCAGTTGCAGCTGGGCAGCCAGTGAAACCAAAACCAAGTCAGACAGCCAATTACCCGGCTAAGCACCCGGAGCCTTTCAGCTACAAATATGGTGACACGTCCACCGTGGGCCTGGACACAACGGATGACAGCACCCAGGGCAGGGGGAGGCAGGGCAGGGGGGCGTCGGCCAACAAGAGACCCACAATGAAGAGGAAAGTGGTCAGGTATGTGTAGGTCATGGAAATGAAATGTGTAGGGAAACGACAGCTTTGGGTCTTCAACCCCAAAATGTCAAATTTGAAGCATCGGAACATATTGTTGCGAAGCACATCAACTACACTTCCTAAAAACAAAGCTTCTTATCTTCCATTTCAAAGGATAGCAATTCCATCATGAATTGAGCTGTCAATTTTCAAGGCCTATCACAAACCAGAAGCAGATCCAAGAAACCCTGCAAATGTCCCGTTTCCCAAAGCCGCGCACCTGAATCTTTAGCTCGAGATCAAACAGATCTGCCACTAGCTGACCAGTGGATTTTTTGAGTTTGGTTTTCATCCTGCCCCAGTGGTCTGGAGTCAGTGCCAAATAGAATGATAAATCCCATACAATATCAGAACTGATTAGGATACTCAGTGCCTAAAAATGATGCTAATGGTCCACCGTCTTGAGACAGTCACCAATGAGGCACCGGCTAGTGACTCGCTGCATTTTCTCAGTAATTCCAACTGTTTCGCTTTGTTACAGGAAGATGAATGGTCAGGCCCAGGTGTTTGACGAGTCCATAACTGAAAGTGAATCAGGTACAAGAAAATAATGATGTCTATGTTGGGTCCAAAAAAATCGTAAACATTCTCTGGGTTGCACTTTCCTTGAGGCGGTCTTGCTTGGCACGGCCTTCTCTCTCCGCACAGAGGCCAGATCAGACAATTTGTCAAGGATGATGCATGTGTGCCATTCCAAACTTAACAACGAAATGCGGAGCACTATCAATTGTTAAGGGTGCCAATGGGTGATAATCTAAACTTAGTCCAGTCTTTGTCCATGAGCAGGAGATGTACGTGACGTCGGTGATCGCTTATCCCGTTTGGCCTTGAGGCAAGATGTCCGAGGCTCTGATGATGAGGATGGAGACACTACGTTGACGGAGACTGACAGTGCCTCCAGCCTTTCGGATCTCATCTACACCTCAAGAAGGCCACACTCCTCCAGAGGACTGGTAAAGCCTTTAATAGTTCATAATTGAGTCCAGAAACCTCCCAAACTTTGTTCCATTACCATAATGGGAAGCAAACTATAGAGTTGCATTTCAAACAAATTTGAATCACTTCCGTTAGATTTCATTAGAGAGTTACCCAAACCTACGCTCAGGTGTTCCAGTAACATTCAACCGTCCTGATTGGCTTTTACTTGTAACGAGAATTACATACAAGCATACTTTCCATTTTGCAGTACACTCACCGGCCTGCAGGAGATGAAAACACAGTGTACAAACCCCATCTACCAAGATCATGTGAGTGTTTGATCTGGTGTTGACATGTTGTACCCTGAAAGAGCAGGAGTGGAGGAGGTAGAATCCACCCCTTCAAGATTTTCTCCAAAACCATTTGAAATTTGTTTCATCTTCCAAGCCCTGAGTTTTTTCTGTAACATCCTACGGTCTGTTTGACACCAATTTGGTGAATATTCGATATGTCAAAAATCCACATGTTTACCATTGACGTGCTCAATGCACATGGGCCAACACATGTGAGGCCATAAATGTCAAATGATCATAACATCAAAACCCCTACGCATGTCATATTCAATTGAAATGTAACATTTGTACTGATGTCTTTACGTGGGCACCAAGTTAAAAAAAAAATCATTGGGCATGCCACAGCCGAACTCTGGGGGACAGAGGGTACAAATCTTTTTAGGATTAAACTCCAAGGGGAGGGGACTTAGTCAGTGGTTGGACTTGCAACTTGGCTTAGATGTCGCAGTGTTCAGTGGAAACAAACACTTCCAAACAGCAAGCACCGTTACACCCGGAATCTGTGATTTGTTTAAGCTCAGAATACAGTCCGTGTACACTTAACCTACTTTTACTGTCATCTCTTGCTGTAGTCATAAGACCAGACTCTGCTCAGCCAAGGACAAAGCATGACATGAAGACGGATCCAGTCTCGAGGTAGGGCGACTGATTCTCTTTATGACTGCATTGAGTTCAGTGACGGTTTGTTTGGACTGGGTAAAGAGCCACGTTTAATTTGTTTGGAGAGAGCTACTTTCCATGTACCATCCCATAAAAGCAATTGGTTTAGTGTTCAAAAATGCTTCAGTCATTGAAGACGTGAGCTGTCACATTTATATTTAATACAAATGTCTCAATTTTGTTTGGGGGGGATCATTCAGACAGTTCTGTCATTGTCAGTCCAGGTTTTGTTAGGGACGATACACCTGAATTCTGTCCGACTCACAGCCGCCAAGATCTAGCACAAAGGTGCTCCCGCAATTACGGAATTGCTCAGACTCAAATGCTTTCCATCCGCCCCTTCCTTGACAGACATCAGATGTACAAGGCCGCATGGAGCAGTCATAGAGCGCCGGGCGAAAAGAACCGAAACGACCTCAGATGGAGCATCAGGGTAAGTGTGCACACACTGACAGAATGGTTGCTTGCCTGAAAATGGGTCGCTCAGATATTAACCACTTCCTGTCAGGGAGCCCGGTACAGGGTGCCTGAAATCGGACAAAGGAACTGGGCCTTGTGACAAAAGACCGTACTCGGAACAAAAAATGAGCTGCTGGGAATTGCCAATCAATTTTCATATGCTGTGAGCACAGAGTGTTGGCATTAGCGGAGGTAATCCGTTATTATTTTGAAACAGTATACCGTTGTTTGTGGCATTCAGTGCCAACGGATTATCAGCGGGGACAAAAGTGCTCCAGCGATGAGCGATACAACATCCCTGCAACCTGATCTGGCCACATTTGTAAAGACACCACTGTAATTCAGCAAAACACTGGGCCAATTTTGGGAACAAAGGAAGTTACGCAACACCACACAATCTGGGCTGTCTTTACAGGGTGGCAGGCCTGGCTGCAATACTCAGGCATCAATGGAGGTTGCCTGTTGGATGACAGTAGCCACCAGAGTCATTTGTGTGAATGTAAGCGTCCAGATAAATGAAGATATGAATTTTTGAAGAGTTTTGAAAACGGAAAATCTTGAAAATCGCCCAGCAACTTGTCCCGCATATGCAAATTCCACCCGGCAGGAAGTGGTTAAAATGTTTGTTGCGTGCCTCAGTAAAGCCCAAGACGAGTTGTCAGGCAGTGGAAGAAAATGGAAAGTGAGACTTCAGATGGTATTTTTCTTAAAAAGAAGAAATGCTTCTTGTCCTGTCTGCTGACTTTCTGGTCAAAATCGCAATGCAGTATCAAGGTATTGCCTATTTAGCTCGACTTACGTAACTGTGACTTGGAATAACTTGATGGTCACATCTCAGAAACAGCACGCAGCTGGGTGCTGAGAGTGTCATGGATCTTATTTAAATTGATGAGTCAGCCATATTGGAATGAACAGTGAGGTTAACTCTTCATTCAGGGAAGTTGGAAACATCAGTAAAGGCAAAAATGAAATTTCCTATCAAATTAGTACCTGTCTTACTCTGATAATAATTTTGTACTTGTGATTAAACGCACTTCAGAATTTCACACCATTGGACCCCTCATGAATTCTAAAATAGTCTGATACCGTCCATCAGTTATTCTTAAGACCATGCTAGATGCTATGCAGGAGTTAGTTGCACTTATAAATGTGCAAGTTGTAATGGCTTTGATAGGTTCTGTGCAGTATTTTAGTTTGATGGAATTTCAATAGCATATTATTTGTTCCTCTATTTTCTTTGTATTTACTCGCAAATCTTGACATTTTGTTATTTGCTGGTTTTAAACTTCAAAATAATGTAAAAGGCCAGTGGGAATTTCCCCTCGAGGGATGATAAAATTGAGTTGAATTGAATACTTTTAAGCAGCAATAAGATAACTTTTGACACGTAGGAAGCATGACATACATAGGTATACATGTATGTACATGGAAGAAATAGCAGGCAGGAAACCTCGCCAGTGCACCGGTGCACTTGAGAATGAAAAGTTTGATTTGGGACCACTTTGTGAAAAAGTATCCTTGTATGGAGCCAAAGTTTGTTTACTTATAAGATGCATGGGTATTACTACAAACTGCCAGTTGTATCCCTGACTGGATCTGACAAACTGAGCCCAAAGACCAGATTGTCAGTACTATGTATTAGTTTGGATCAGAAACTGAGCTGTTTGGTTTGATTCAACTGTTGAGTTGGCTTTCTGGTAAAAATGGCCACAACATGGGTGAAACCTGTTGAGAATTCCCATTGATTTGCATCGTGCAAGATTCTTATAAAGGCCTTTAACTCCAAACTGGCTCTGGGTGACTCATTTCTGTTTAGTTGGGTCACTTTTAAAGGCGCCTTTCCATATGTTATTTTAAGGTGCGTTGTGTACGTCATGTGTTTATGCGTTTCACTTTTACGGACACAAAAAGCGACCCGTTTATATACTACACGTGCGTGTTGCATTTGGCCGTCAAAATCGCCTCGGGAGTGATTTTGACAGATACGCACTGCTTGGCACAAGTGTTGACCGCATGTGGAAAGGAGCATTAAATCGGTAATCTTGGATGTTCACCTGAAATGTTTGTGATGAGATGTGATGCAGTATCTGAGTTACAGAGAATTTCCTGAAGCACGTATCACCCTGTACTCCATAACCTGCCTCTTTTCAGGAGCAGATGATGTACAAGGACTCGGCGGCGTATCCAAGGCGCACACCTCGGGCGTACTCCGCCAACAACTACGTGGTGCCCACAGACAAGAAGAGGCAAGCTTTGAGGTGGGCGGTCAGGACGAGTCTGGCACACAGGCAGATGCCGCCATCCACATTCTATTGAGAAGTACATGCAGCATAGTGTACAAAAAAAGAAAAGTACTATTCGTCTTGCATGTACATGTAATTCCCTGTTGTAAGTTTTGACCAAGTACTAAGTGAGAGAGGAAAAACAACGCAAAACGAAGCCTAGTATGTTGCATGGAACCTTACCGCTAGATGGAAAATGTACACTAGAAAAAAGAACCACTTCTACATTAGGTGAAAAGTATGCTTAGGAATTACGACAACTGTCTTTGTGTGAGTGGTGGAGTTCGATATATATTCCCAGTGGGCTGAAAATGGCATTGCCAAGTTTTGGAATGAAGTGTGCTGCACTCGTGAAGAGAAATACATTTCCCATGTCTGGATTTCACGGTTACATGGGCTTCGCTTGACAATGTAGAAATCTTGGATAACTGCACCGAACATGAATTTGATAAGTTTGTAAAGCTGTCACTATTCAACGTGGCTGGCCCCTTTTTACTATAAATTTTTGCGCCTTGCGTTAAAAACTGTAAACATGTGGTGTTGGTTGGAATATGAGATTGCCAATACATTGATTTTTACAAAGAGCTCCAGTTGTAGTTTCAGTTTTAATCAATGTGTAAGATAAATTTGTACTTGATTGACTGTATCTGTAAATAAAATGGTAATATTCATTAATTACATGTTTGTTTGTCAGATACTGCCCTAAAAAGCTTGGTATGACTGTTGGCGACTAAAACCACAAATGCTGCAAAAATTTCTTCCAAAACACACACACACAAATTCTGAACCAAGGCGCAGATACAATTACAGCATAAGGAACAAACAAAATCATTTTATTGTGTTTTTTCTTCGAAACAAACCGTACGTAAACACAGTACTCAAGCAATAAATGAGGACAAATTCATCTTAATTGTCGCAGATCATTCCAATTCCCATGGTTAATCACCTTCTATGCTCAATCGGCCAAGGTCAAACCTGTAGAACTCAGTGTGGTGTCAAATGGCAAATTTGATGGCAATTTTCTTTCCTAAATATCACATGTACGTTACACACAGAATTGTCATCCATGTAGGTCACTTCCCCCCCCGCCACTCGTGACTAAATCCATGTGTATATTCCAACATGCAGATGATACTGTATGAAGTGTCAAGGAAATGGGTGCATATCATAAGTCCAATGCATCATAAGTCTGAATTTTTGGACATACAAGCCGTCTGACTAATTGACAGTTCGGGTCTATAGGCCAAAATAAACTAATAAAGAATCGTCGGACTTATGAGGCGTCAGACGTAACAAGCTGACCCCAAGGCATACGGTATATTACTGTACCACATGCCAACAGAGGACTTGCATGGTGTGCCCTCACTGAGGACAGGTCTTTGTTCCTGTGTGATATGCACAAGTAGACCCTCAGTACTTCCACAGTCATAGAACTAAAGACAAAAATTCCCTCTGTGAAGGCGCTCTTTGCAGTTTCTCTGTGTAAATCAAAACAAGTAGTGATATCTGTGGAACCCAGGATCAGCTGGCCAAGTATTATACATGTAGTTTGAATGAGTAGATAGGACTGTTTGGGCATAGCCTACAACATATATTACAAGAAATCTGTTACATCTGAAAACATGTATACACTCATATTCCGACCCCCATCAGTGAGGGCGCTTAGAATATCTAGCCACAAAGGCCTGGTTTCTAACAATCTTCAAATCAACATACTTGTCAGGTTTTGACAAAATGCCAGGCCTTGACTAAAGCTGGTTTTGTCCCTTTCTGTGTCCTGAAAGAAACCAGGGATGTACCCCTCCTGAAGGTGATATCTGTGTTGAAGTCCCGAGGGAGATGTTTATTTCTTGGCATGGCTGCTTGCACAGTTAATGAAACGCCACATGGTCAACTTGCAACAATCTGTGCTCTCTTTAGCAATACAACATGACAGGCCATTTTGTTTTCAACAATCGAGGGTGCTGGAACATAACATGGTAAAAATGTTGGTTATATGTATTGAAACACTGACAGTTGTTTCAATTGAATGAAAAGTAATGCACAAGATTGATGTGCCAAACTCAGGCACATTTGGGCAGGGAAGTCCATTTTTTACTTACTGCAATATGTAAAGAGCTTGTTCTCTGAAATACTGCTTTAAAAGTAGATATTCCTAAGTGAAGATATTAAACCTTGAAGTTGGACCATTCCAAATGAAACAAAATGAAAAAAAGGCCTTATAAAGCTTTTCACCGTGGCCATGAAAATTGAATTGGAAAATTTTCCAGATTATAGAAACATAGTGACATAACAAATTGTTACATATCTGACAAACCCACGAATACAAAATATCACCATTTTCGAGAAAAACATGTTTTCAGTTAAGCAGTTATTGCGTGCTCATTTTCGATATTTAATTCAATCCTCTTTTGATCTCTGTGTACAGAAGATACAAAATTGGTCTTTGAAATCATTTCCTAATTTGTATTTTTGGTTCTATGAGCAATACTTTATTTGAATACTGCTATTCGTCAGTTCATGAGATAAAATCTGAAAATCACCAGAACAGTCCATTTGCCAGTTCGTCAGATAGGTAACGAAATGTCCAGAACTCCCCAAACAGATGAAAATCACCCCATCACATTTTCAGCCGTTTCCCCGTCTCCAGCTTTGCCCCACTGCCGCTCAGTTTTGACATACTGCCTTACAAGCAAGTGAACGTCTAAATTTATGACCATTCATGGACTGTGCAGAACCATGCCATCAATGAGAAAAATGTGCATATTAAAGCCACTGCTTGTGAAAATAGGTTAATTCCTCTCAAGGAGCTATTTTGGGTTTTGCTTCAGGGGAAAATGGGTCAATTATATAGCACTTGCACATCTTACAAGCAGATCCACGGTCTGCTACCATCTTCAATTACTACTGGAAGCCCATACCTGTACCCCAAATCTCGGTGGAAAGTAGCCTCAATCGGTCCACAAAATGGCCCATTTTCTTGTCCTAAAAAACAACTGCTCCACCCTTTGATAATCAGTCCTCATCATTTCAGCAATCTAACAAACGCATAATTTACAAAATGAGCGAGGCATGCAAATTGCATAATTTCAAATTGACATCTGCCAAAATCATCCGGTTGGGAAAAGCATTTCCTTTCTGATTGCAATTTAATTGGAATACAAAAACGTGAAGGCAACGTTCTATAATGCATATAGTTTTGCATGTAAATGAACAAATTAATTCTGTTTAAACCAACGCAGAAACACCAGTGCCTATCCATAACATCTATCAACTGAACAGGCAAGAACTGTTGAACATCCCAATAAACAAATACTCTGCATAGAAGGGATGCAAATAAAATTGAAAATTCAACCACTAATATCGGGATGACTGAAAATGTTGAGACTGTAGCTGATGTTTGCCATTTCAGGTGGGAATTTTACACTACTACAAGTAAAGTGTATTCAAAATGAGGGGCAAACTTTGCAATTTTTAAATCATGTGGAGTAGAAACAAAAAGTAACGATAAAAGTAAAATCCATTCTGAGATGGTATTCCTTCTTGGAAGACAACAGCAAACCAGATCATTCTGTTTTTCACCCCCCCCCAAAAAAAGGAGAAAAAAAAAAGCTTGAACCAAATTTTGGAATGTTACAAAAAACCCCAGCAGATATTTCTGGAGCTGTATATACAAATACAATACAAGCATTGGAGCCGCCGTGGTGTGGCATGATTATATACAGTGCTTGGCCCTTGCTCAAAATTCCCATCTGCTGTATACAAAACATAAAAAGCAATTTGCTACCTGTAACTTTGTTAGAAAACATTAACGTTTAATGGAACTATACAGTCATTGGATGATTAATCTGATATCCCACAAAAGAAAGCTTTTATAGATACATTTGTTTTTGGCTTCAATGTAGCTTTAACTTTTAAAGTGTAAATATATATTCACAATGGACAGTCTAACGTATATCATATAAATGCCCAAATAGGGGAAAATATTCCATTCCATTTCTACATACTTTAAAGATTACATGAATATATTTTATGAAGAAACTTTCCAGGGGTTCCTTTCTCACATTTACACTCAACATCTGGGGAAAAAAATTACTTCCTGTCAATAATCTAAATTATCAAAATCAATCAGTTTAGCTTCAAAGCCACTCCTCGTCATCTTCCTGACAGCAAATTTAGAAAAAAAAGTTACCTTAAAAAAAATCTGTTTGTTGCATGCTTTTCAAACTCTCACATATGGAAACATTAACAGCTGAATATCCAAAGAACCCTCACCCCACAAGTAACACGAGTTCACTGTAAGTACATTTAGGCTTTCTACACACTGTACGTTACTCAAAATGCTGATAAAAGACGTATTGGCAAGCAAAAATCCAAATCAAATGCCGAGAGTTGAAAAATAAAAAACGCCAATGAAATTTCATGTTATTTCCTGGGACTGGCACATTTCTCACACACACAATACTTGCTTTATGCAGTCACTGGAGGTGATATACAGGGGGAGAGATGGAATTCATTGAACTCCTACACAATCTGCAGTTCACATTCGTCTGGAAGACAGCACTGTACATATGCTTCGGTTGGAGACTGATTTAAGTACAATTTGGCCACTTGTATCTAGCTGAGGAAGCAATTCTTGGGAAGATGCATTCTTCTAGATGGTGTTCATAAGCTTTGAGAGTCCATCGCAATCCCTCAAAGGTCCTTACAAGTTCTCACAAGTCTACAGTCTACTCACAAGTTTTCACAAGAACAAAGATGTTCTTTTGTTACAGTTAACCCCCTCTGTTTCAAGTATGCAGACTTGCAAGCTGACCTCTGATTTCACAATGGTCGGACCTGTGATGGACTCAACCACACGTGCAACACTGGAGGGTATCAATGTCAGCTTTTACAAGTAATACAGCCAACTCTGTTTAAGCTATGCCAAGGAGTTGCCAGTACTGTAGTAGTAACAATCATATGCACAAGCACTCTCAACCTCGAGGTGCACAAAATGCAGCACCTGTTCAAAGATACATTCAATGCGCGCACGCCAGCGCCACCTGTATTTCGGTGTGCTACTACAACAGTAATTGACTTTAAATGAGCCGGTTCAGTTTTCCAACTGCGCATGCCCAAAACAAAATGAAGTGCATCCGAGGTCATTTGGTCGTGAGTGCGAGGTTCTGCACAATCAGCGCGGCCCAATGTAGACTTGCATGTGCGCTTTGATCCTGAATTACTTTGCCTTTTTTTTGAACACCGAACCGGTTCATTCTGGTCGTTGACTCAGTCTATACTAAACATAGGAACGATGCGTGAAAACTCTAAATACGACGCATACAATGTTGATGAATACATGTCGTTGACAGAATTGCAGTAACAATAACAAGCCAAATGGCTTTGCAACGTTTGACAAACGTTCTGCTGTTAGGCCGAGTTGTCTTTAGCTCAGTATGTAGGAAGTGTGTCCAAACTTAGCATATTCTATTGGGAACAGGGCCTGGGCCTGCCTTACTGGAGTTGATAGTCATGAACGCCATAGTTTCTTTCCGTGCATGCTTTCCTATGGTGCTCAGTGGACCATGGGCCTCCAACTGGCTTCACGGCAACATGCACATGTAAACAAAGTGTGACATCTGTACTGGGGCAGGGACCTCATGGTTGGGGACGGGTTCCTGCTTTTATTTTGCCACTTTCTGTTAGGCATCTTTGTGGATGTTATTTGTGTATGTTCGGCATTTGCGTTGCATTTAAATTGCATTAAACTGGGGTGTGAGTGGCCACTCAAAGCTGAAAACAGCTAGCAAAAGGCTGAAATGTAGAAAAGTTCCCATACTTTTACACAGACCAGGTGTAGAAGAAAGCTGAAATTCAGGGTTAACATCTACACTAAAAAGCTGAATT